CCTTATTGATTCAAATGTTAATCGTATTCAACTTATTTCTTTACATGTGTACAACTACATCATATCATTATGATTCCTGTGGTGCCCCCTTCCCTTGATGCCCTAAGCACATGCTTATTTTGCTTAATTGTTTATCCAGCCCTGTGTGTCATAGACAAAACAATGGTAAATAAAAGGTAATTCTTGAAACAATTCATCCTTTCTTATAAAGAACTGAAGCTCGGTCCACTGCATCACAATGGAAATAATTTTCCATTACTGATTGAAGAATGCAGAATTTTTCAGCATTTTGGCAAAGTCCATCATATTATTCAATTAATTGTGCTTTTAGTCTATTTCTTATTTCCCTTAAAGCAGAAATGTTAAAAATAGTACTTTAACTAGTTTCAATATATTTTTATCAAATATTCATCAATAACTACAATCACTGAGCCAGGTGTCTCAGTTGATATTCACTTTTTTATATTAGTTTTGACAAATAAAACTTCAAGCTTTTCAGTAAAGGCTACATGAGAATAGCTGTGCAGTAGAAACATCACAAGAATATCTATACAATAGAGGCTTCTCAGAAATAGCTGTGAAGTAGAGGCTTCAAGAGAATAGCTGTGAAGTAAAGGTTTCACAAGAATATCTATGCAGTAGAAGCTTCTCGGAAATAGCTGTGAAGTAGATGCTTCGTGGGAATAGTTGTAAAGTAAAGGCTTCACTGGAATAGCTGTGAAGTAGAAGCCCCATTGGAATATCTATGCAGTAGAGGTTTCTCAAGAATAGTTGTGAAGTCGAGGTTTCATGGGTATACCTGAAAAGTAGAGGCTTCATGGGAATACCTAGGAAGTAGAGACATCACAAGAATACCCATACAGTAGATGCCTTATGGGAATAGTTGTGAAGTAAATGCTTTATAGAAATAACTGGGAATTAGAGGCTTCATGAGCACAAGAGCGCAATAGAAGTCTTATAATAAAAATTATGCAGTAGATGCTTCATGACAATAACTGTGCAGTAGAGGTTTTATAATAAAAAACATGCAGTAGAAGCTTCATGACAATGACTGGGCAGTAGTGGCTTTATAATAAAAATTATGCAGTAGAGGTTTCATGATAATTCTGCAGTAAATGGTGTATAATAGAAATTATGCAGTAGAGGCTTCATGATAATAACTGTACAGTAGAGGTTTTATAATAAAAATTATGCAGTAGAGGCTTCATGATAATAACTGTGCAGTAGCGGTTTTATAATAGAAATTATGCAGTAGAGGCTTCATGACAATAAGTGTGCAGTAGATGTTTTATAATAAAAATAGTGTAGTAGAGGCTTCATGATAATAACTGTGCAGTAGAGGTTTGATAATAAAAATTATGCAGTAGAGACTTCATGATAATAACTGTGCAGTAGTGGTTTTATAATAGAATTTATGCAGTAGGTGCTTCATGATAATAACTGTGCTGTAGAGGTTTTATAATAAAAATTATGCAGTAGAGACTTGATGACAATAACTGTGCAGTAGAGGTTTTATAATAAAAAGCATGCAGTAGTGGCTTCATGATAATAACTGTGCAGTAGAGGTTTAATAATAAAAATTATGCAGTAGTTGCTTCATGAAAATAAGTGTGCATTAGAGGTTTTATAAGAAAAATTATGCAGTAGAGGCTTCATGATAATAACTGTGCAGTAGAGGTTTTATAATAGAAATTATGCAGTAGGTGCTTCATGATAATAACTGTGCAGTAGAGGTTTTATAATAGAAATTATGCAGTAGGTGCTTCATGATAATAACTGTGCAGTAGAGGTTTTATAAGAAAAATTAAGCAGCAGAGGCTTCATGACAATAAATGTACAGTAGAGGATTTATAATAAAAATTATGCAGTAGAGACTTGATGATAATAACTGTGCAGTAGAGGTTTTATAATAAAAAGCATGCAGTAGCAGCTTCATGATAATAACTGTGCAGTAGAGGTTTTATAATAAAAATTATGCAGTAGTTGCTTCATGAAAATAAGTGTGCATTAGAGGTTTTATAAGAAAAATTATGCAGTAGAGGCTTCATGATAATAACTGTGCAGTAGAGGTCTTATAATAGAAATTATGCAGTAGGTGCTTCATGATAATAACTGTGCAGTAGAGGTTTTATAATAGAAATTATGCAGTAGGTGCTTCATGATAATAACTGTGCAGTAGAGGTTTTATAAGAAAAATTAAGCAGCAGAGGCTTCATGACAATAAATGCACAGTAGAGGTTTTATAATAAAATTTATGTAGTAGAGGCTCCATGACCAGAACTGTGCAATAGAGGTTTTATAATAAAAAGTTTGCAGTAGCAGCTTCATGATAATAACTTAATGTGCGGTAGTCTTTCCAATTAGAAACAAATATAAAAAAAACAACAACAAACCAATTTTTTCCTTAAAACCAAAAAATAAAGAAAGAAAATCTTTGGAAATGTCTTATAAGGTTAATGGCTGTATCTCTTTTCCTTTCCTGCCCAAATAAAGTATTTCGGGAAATGGGTTTGGTTTTTGTTGTAAACACATTACCAGTTCAACAAGATTTTTACAAGCTGCATATTTGCATATATTTTCAACAAGAATATAAGAACTTTTTAGTCTTTTATTTTATCTTTTATCTTTTCAGACAAACATGAATTTCAAAATGGCCATATCTTGATAAGGTGTTAAACATATTTTAATATTTGTAATTTGGCATAGTAATTTGAGTTTAAGAATGTTTTTTGTCTGACAATAATAAATTCAATAATATTGAAGACAATAAGCTCAATAATAATGATAATAATAAATTCCATAATACTGAAGTCAATAAGCTCATTAATATGGACAATAATAAATTCACTAATATTGAAGCCAATAAGCTCAATAATATTGACAATAATAAGTTTACTAATATCAAAGCAAATAAGCTCAATAATATTGACAATAATAAATTCAATAATATTGAAGTCAATAAGCTCAATAATATTTACAATAATAAATTCAATAATATTGATGTCAATAAGCTCAATAATATTGACAATAATAAATTCACTAATATTGAAGCCAATAAATGTAACAAGTGGAATTAAATCCTTATCTCCTACAACACAAAACAGGTAGGAATACTTACCATAAGGAAAAGAATTTTTAACCAAAATTTTGAACATTCTAAAAAGGATTAAAAAATATAATTTAATAACAAAAAAACCTTTGGTCGTTCCTCTTAATAATAACATAAAGATTTTGCTGATAAAACTTTGTTTTTATTAAGTTTGGGACGTTTTTCATTATATATACTCATTTTTTTTTATATTAAAATTCAACGTTAGTGAATTTATTATTGTCATTATTATTGAGCTTATTGACTTCAATATTATTGTATTTATTATTATCAATATTCTGTTAATTTCTGTATTAATTTGTACCATTTAGGTGATATTGTTACTAAGTAGAAACTATATTTAAATAGAAAAGGTAACAAAAATTCAGCGAAACCAATATTTCAAAAAGAATTTTTAAATTTTTTTCATGTGTATGAAAGTGGCGATTTTTGTAATCTTAAATAGAAAACAAGTTAGATTTTATGATGAAAATTCATTGGAAAGTGATTTTACTATGAAAAGAAAGAGATTTTACTATGAAAATGCATAACTTCAGCTGCCTCTTTCTGATGTTAAGTATAAGCCTTCTCCTTGTTTGCAACCTCTCTAAAACCTCATTGTTGCTCACATGCTCGGTCCATGATATTCTCAGCATCCTTCTGTAGAACCACATCTCCATCGTCTTGAGAACTGACTGAAATGCTAAGAATGGTAGATTCTTAATCTGTCTGTTCTTTTTCTTTATTTGTGCATATATATATATATATATATATATATATATATATATATATACTATTTACATTATTCAGACTATTGTCCTTGTCTTTGTTGCCATATGTATGACAAAGTTTTGGCCGCTGCATGCTCTGGCCTTCTTCAGGTGGTTGGAATGTTGAACTGAACCCTTAATTTCGTTTGATGGGGTAGACTGTTCTAGTTCCACATGCCATGTCTAATGGATGTCAGTTATCAGTTATCTCCTGTTAATTCACCTCTCCAGTGACAGGACCCAAAGAGCTGTGAGTTCAATACCTGGTTAAAGCAGTGGAGAACTTGGAGAGGTGAATTAACAGGAGATATAACTGATAAGTGACATCTATTAAACATGGCACGTGGAACTAGAACAGTCTACCCCAATGAGCGAAATAAAGAGTTCAGTTCGACATTCCAACTACCTGAAGAAGGCTGGAGCGTACAACAGCTGAAACGTTGTGATAAATATGGCAACTAAATATTCAATAGTCCGAATTCAATAATGTAAACAGTGTATATACTTTAAACTTTAAAATAAGGATATTATATATTTCATTCAACGCTTCATCAGATCCGAAAGCTAAAAATGAGATGCGTGTGTATTTTTGTGTATGAAATCTTTTTTTTCCCAAGCTGATGTTTCTCGTGATTTAAAAAAGAAAGAAAAAAGACGAATCACTTTTTAAAAAGTCAGTAATTCATTTTCTTATTAACTTTCAGTTTTCGAGTTGAAAGATATAATCCCGCAAAATGGGTAAAAGTAATATTTTTTTAAATATTTTTTTTTCTGTGTCGACAGTATGTTTTTAAAAATTAGGATATATGATCCCGACAAAATTTTTTTAAATTTTAGACAATAATTGGAAAACGTTCACGAAAGTATATTTGTTCTCAAATATATCCAATTTATGCATTTCGCAGTTTATAACTTTAATTAAACGTGGATACACGTGTTTGCAGATATACTTTTTTTTTTTTTTTTTTTAACAATGACAACCGGTCTGTGAATTCGAGTCATAAAATGTACCTTCTGATGGGGTTCATTTAAAAAGGAAACCATTGTCTGGACCTGCAAAAACTTTAGAGACCACTCACGGAAAGGATTCACGGCCCAGTAAGGTTCAATCAATTGTCCTAATGTGGACATAGGAATCAACAATGTCTATAAATGCTGAACACTTTTCTCCCCTCATAAATATAAAAAAATGTAAGGACCTTAAAAACAATTAAAAGAACTGAACTGTCTCGTTGGTTGGGGTAATTATTTCAAATAGTCTTCCTTTGCAAGTCATCATTAGTGCGTTCGATATCTAAATAGTTAAAAAAAAATTATTTTCTTTTATCTAAATAAAAATCCTTTTAAAATTAATATTTATCTTTTTTTTTATTTATATAAACGAGATATTGTTGCATAAGAAGAAGTGGGTGGCAGCAGGTGCCTTGCCACGAATATCACGTGCTACGATTATTTATTTATTTTTTTTATTATCTTAAAAGTTCATTACTAATTCAGACTGTGTAGATTATATTTATTTATATTTTTGTAACAAGTTTACAAATGTTACAAAAATGTCCCTCGAAAGAGAAAGTTTAAAATGATGTCACAAAAATGCGTAGTTTAGTTTGTACATGTCTGTCAGAGAGAAAGACATTTCCGGTTTTTAAGTTTTTTTTTTTACCTATTCTCATCATTGTATATTTTTCTACCAAACCAAAGCAATTTGCTTGCAGTTTTAGAATTAAGTACTGTGAAAAAAACATTTTGTTTTCTTTTTCCAGTGATTCTGTTTTTTTTTTTATTTCATTTTTGTTTGGTTTGTTCATTTGATACTGCGATTCTATGCTGGTTTTAAATTTTCGTCATAGTCAAGAAAAAGCGATTTTTTAAAAATCAATGACAGTATAAAAAAACTTACTCATGGCTTGAGTTTTCCGTCAAGAAAAAAGAATTCTAAATGTAAACTATCATTGAAATTATTAAAGTTTTCAAATGATTTACATGAAGGACAATTTGACAATGACGAATGATTTTTAAATTCTCAGATTCAATCAATTGTACTGAAAATTGTCGAGATATGACGACGGCTTTACTACCATTTGATTAACCACTTTTCTTCATTCATAAAGACACGTTAATCGTGTTTATAAATAATCAAGTTTAACCTAGAAAGAAAAAAAAAGGAAAGAAATTAACAGAAAGAAAATTCAATAAGGATTTATATTCATACCCGATTTTTCAAAGCTTTTGATACCCGCCTTTTTTTCATTGTTCTCTAAAGGAATGTAGAAAAATCATGTTAACTTAAAATAAAAACTTATGAATATTTCTCTTAGAAAGAAAATTACTATGGTCATGAATTTTTTAAAATTTCATCCATTTTCCGCCGTTGAACAAGAAAAAAAGATCTTTTCTTTCAGTCTAGGATTGATTTAAAAAAACGGTAACGAAGGAAGTTAAATTTAGTTGGGCTCAAAAGGAACACATCTTTTGTTTTAATTTTTGAATGATTTTAAATCTTTATTACTTTAATTTTAATTATAGAAATAAATTATAATTGTTTTCCTAGTAAATGTTGTTATCAGTTTTAAGGGTAAGACGTAAAAATATTTTTAAATCTGAAAAAAGAAATACAAGATTTTTAACATTTTAAATAATTTTATTTTTAAAAATTTATAAAAATATGATTGAATCATTAAGAAAAACGCAATTAAAAATGTAATTTTTGAATAAAAATGACTCGATCTTTCAACTTTTCTATTATATACTGTTTCATCGAGTTATAAACTGACATTTTTTTTTAAAAGTTGTTTAGTCAAAAATTATTTTTACACCTGATAGAACTTAAAGCAAACTAAACACGTAGTCAGTCATTTATTTCACTCATTACAATTCTCTGAAATTTCGTATTTCCCTGTTCTTCACTGATGTTTTTTTCCCTTATTAAAAAAATAATTTGTTATCTTTTTCTTTCGTATGAAACAAAATATGAATTTTTTTTTTTTTAGCGAAGAAAATAATTTTTGCGGACTCGCTGTCTTTTTTTTCCCCAACTTTCGAAAAAGTTTTCTACAGAATATAAAATTATCAAAAAATAAAGATTGAAAAAATACATAAATTCATTAAGAAAAATTAAGCATGTGATTTAGTTTTAGAGACGGAAGAAAGTTTTTATTTTTATGACAAAAATCATAGGACGACTATAATAAAGATTCAAAACATTGATAAATGAAAAAGAAAGTGTTTTCTTTCCTACAACAAACGATAGTTGTATTTTTTCATTCTTCTTTTCTTTTGAAATAATATTCTAAAAAATTTGTCATAAACAAAACAAAATGATTTCAGATCGTTGTTTAAAAACAACAAAAATCATTAATTAATCAATAAAAATTGATTGTAAAAAAAAATGTTGAGTTTCGCTTTTAAAAAAGATTTTTAAAACTGTATTTTTATTTTAATAATTAGTTTAAATCTAGGATCCACAAATATAAATTAGTTATTAAATAAAATAACCGAAAACCAGTTAAGTGACTTCGAACATTAAAAAAACTAAAAATACTAATTTTATTTTTACTACAACTGTGGGATTCATTAAAAATAAAAGCTAAAAAAAAACGTTTTACTTTTATATTTTAAAACCACTGATAAAAAAAATTTACTTCCAATTTTCTTATAATTTATTAATTTCATTTATCTTAAAATTGGTTTTTAAATAAAATAAAAAATGAAATGCATTTCAAACAGATGAAAAAAAAAATAAAAGGAGGAAATTCACTTCACGATTCTGGAATGTTCCGAACATTAAAAAAAATAACAAAACAAAAATACTATTTTATTTACTTTAGTACAATTTTTACTTTTTCTTAATTGCGTTAGTTAAAAATGTATTTTGAAAATATTTTTGAGCTTTAAAAATCTGATAAAGATGTTTTTATTTCATAATTTTATTTTGACACGTCATATACTAGAACCTTCTTCGGTGGCTTATATATAAGTGAGTCAAGAACAGAGGCGTCATTCTAGAAACAGCTACAGAGGAGAGGTTGTCTTGTGTCCTCAGCACAATCTAGCACTACCAATACTTTCATTCTTGTACAGGTAAGGAAACTAATATTTTAAATTTTATTTTTTAGTCTATCAATTACTTTATCTATCATCTTCCAAAAATATATATATATAGCGAGGGAGAAAGATTTTTTTTTTCCACATATAAAAAAAAAAGTGCTCTTCAAAATGGACGTCTTCGTGCTTATCGTCCATGTGTGAATATTTGGTGGGAAGCGACTAGACTCAATTTAGGCTTTAATTCTAATATTATACTTATTTACTGGTACCACATGTTAGTTTTTTTTTAATCGAACTGGTTTTGTGGAAGTTTTTATTTCTTTTCATTGACCTTTCTTTGTTCTAACTAACATAAAAGCGGTTACTTTTTTTTTTTTTTTTTTTTTCGCTTTTTTTTATTTTTATTTTCCTTCAATTAATCTTATTTTATGGCTTAAAATTTTTAAGCATTAAACTTGTGATCTCGCCGAGTTTTATAAATATTACTACGCCCACTTTGTAATTATTTCTTAACATTTTTTCCCCCCCAAATTCTCGAAAATGTCAAACTGCATTTCTTTCTTTCACTTTTTTTATTTAAATTTTTCTAAATGCAAACTAATTTTGTCATTTTATATATACACTATTTATCTCTTACTTGTTATGTCCTCTGTTATTCCTCTTAGTCTCCTCTAGAGGTCACATTTTCTTTTTAATAAGTTTCTAAAAACTGGTTTTACTCATTAATGTAAAGTCTCTTCTCTTCTGCTGTTAACTGAAATGGTCGATTGAAACTATTACATCATTCAATACTCCTGCCACTGCTGCATTGTTTAAATTGACCATTCCTCAAACTATTGATCACTATTATTTCTAGAAAGTTAATTCTTAATACTAGTGCAAAAAAAAAAAATGAATAAAAAGCAAAGGGACTTCATAATTTCCATTTTTCTGAAATGGAAACTCACTGGCCGTATTTAAATGAGATTTTAAAATCTGATCATGCTGTTTGCTAGATCTGCTCTTTTTATTTTAAATCAATCGTTTATGAATTTAACCCTGTAACCTTTTAACTTGATATACTAATCCTTCCCATCCCGATAAAATTACTGTATTAGCTGACTCGTTACGTTTAAGTTCTCGTTAAGCCGAAGTAATTAAGATGATTCTCTAGTTGACTTAATGATTTTTCATTAGTTCCCCACTTAAAAAAAAAAACTAAAAATGCTTTTAATTCTAATTTTAGAATCAAATTTTCTAGTTTTGAAGAAAACGCCTGCTTTTTTTTTTTATTTTTTTTATAACGGAAAACTAAAATTCCTGATGCTTAAAAAATATGACTTTCCTCTCAAGTAGCTAACTCTTAACTTTTTAGATAAGAACGAAACTTAAGGTTGGGCACTTCTCGAAGGCTGTCGTAATTTCTCTAATATCGGGAAGCCATTGCCGCCACCTACTGGCCATTCATTCTTTGTTAAACCGGCAAAGGGAGACAACCTAAGTTTAATATTGAACTCTTTGTTCAATAATTTAAGCAGAAAATGAAAACTGAGTAAATATTAGAAAAATCAACTCTTAATGAGAAATTCGCACAAATTTCAGCTTAGATATTTTAAGGTTTGTCTAAATTTCCGTTAACTTTTAATTTTCTAATAAATTTGAAAAACGGCATCGTCGATGCAATGACTGCGGATATTGCATTGCGAGTGTTCATGTTATGTCGTCTTGAAATGCAAATTTTTTTTTTTTTTTTTCTCAAGCCGATCTAGGAATGATTTTTAATTTCTCACTATTATGAGAAATCTTATTTCTGATAAACAAGATCTTTTTGAAAACAAAGGATTCCTATTTCTCGTTTCTAAAAAGGAAAAAAAAGCGTTAAAAATGTGATAATTTAACTGAAATTATTTCTGTACATAACAAAAAATAGTTAACATTGTCCCAATCTGTTAGGAATTAGTAAGATTCAAATACGCAGTCGATTTTACTACCACTAATATTTAAAATCGTGAGAACTTTCAGATAACCGATTACAATATTTCCTTGATTACTGAAGTCTTATGCTGTTTAATTTAAAAATAATTATTGCTAATCTCTTTAGATATGGCTAAATCACAAGCTGTTGGCATTGATTTGGGTACAACCTACTCCTGTGTTGGAGTCTTTCAACACGGAAAAGTGGAAATTATTGCCAATGACCAAGGAAACAGAACCACCCCGAGTTATGTTGCCTTTACAGACACTGAACGTCTTATCGGAGATGCTGCAAAAAATCAAGTGGCTATGAACCCAGAAAATACTATATTTGGTAAGATTTCTTTCTCTTGATATGGTTGTAAACGTTTTGGTTAAAGTAGAGAAATAAATTTGAAATGATCAATCTTGGTGTTTTTAAACTTTGATATCCCACTTCAAGAACTTATTACTGATTACAAAAATCTCCATTCTGGTGTATTCACTGAAATAATGGGACATTATTTCCCCAGTGTCCAGCTTTTAATCATGAAAATGTTTTAATATTCAATGACACTAACCTTATATTTAAAATAATCTGACTTTGTTTAAACCTAATCACTGATTTGTTAGCTGAGAACACTAGAAAAATGCTTAATGGATAAATGGTTTCAGAGTTCTGTAAAATGACACTTATTATAAGGTTAAACTTAGTGTCATGTTTTCAAATTGTAGAATCTGGTTAGTTAGCATTGTTCCATGAATAGTTGCTCATGTAGACTCTGTGGTTTACTGCTATGTGTTATTCTGTCTCTTCTTCCAGATGCTAAAAGATTGATTGGACGCAAATTTGATGATCCTGCTTGTCAATCTGACATGAAGTATTGGCCCTTTAAGGTGATCAATGACAATAGCAAACCAAAGCTGAGAGTCCTGTTTAAAGGAGAATCAAAAACCTTCTATCCAGAAGAAATCTCTTCTATGGTTCTTACAAAAATGAAGGAAACTGCTGAAGCATATTTAGGAAAGGTAATTATTGGAAAATGAAACTGCCAAAACTTGGGAATTTTATTTTATTCCATTTTCTATTATTTCTCTCCTTTCTCCTAATGCATCTCTTCCATTGTAGAGTGTGGCAAATGCTGTTGTCACAGTTCCTGCCTATTTTAACGACTCTCAGAGACAAGCTACAAAGGATGCTGGAACTATTGCTGGTTTAAATGTTCTTCGTATTATTAATGAACCCACAGCTGCAGCTATTGCGTATGGTTTGGACAAGAAAGTAAGTTTTTTTTTTTTTTTTTTTTTTTTTTTTTTCTTTCTTTAGGGAGGGGGGGATCTCTTCAGTATGTAAAGTTAGCAAGGAGAATCTATTTAATGTCTTGTATAAAACTTAATGTGTCAGGTTTAAAGTTGTAGCTCATTACAAGGGATTCTTATTATTCAATTTATAACGTTAATTCAACATGTGTAATTTCTTTTTCTTTTTTCCCTCTGGATTAGATAATCTAAAAGTTACAACTGGAAATTGGCTTCTGCTATCTTGAGTTTTATTTAAGACTTAACAATTGATGCAGTCAATTATGTTTTTCTCAAGTCATTAAAATTTAGACGATACTTAATTGGTATTGAATTTTCTTCTGACAGGTTGGTGGCGAAAGAAATGTTCTAATTTTTGATCTTGGTGGTGGTACTTTTGATGTATCCATCTTGACGATTGAGGATGGAATATTTGAAGTGAAGTCTACTGCTGGAGATACTCATCTTGGTGGTGAAGATTTTGATAATAGAATGGTCAATCACTTCATTCAAGAGTTTTCCCGTAAACATAAAAAAGATCTCTCTCAAAACAAACGTGCTTCCCGAAGATTGAGAACTGCATGTGAGCGAGCAAAGAGAACCCTGTCATCCAGCACTCAGGCCAGCATTGAGATTGATTCCTTGTTTGAAGGAATTGATTTCTATACCAACATCACCCGAGCTCGGTTTGAAGAATTAAATGCAGACCTCTTCAGAGGTACTTTGGAGCCAGTTGAGAAGGCTCTCAGAGATGCAAAACTGGACAAATCTGCCATCAATGATATTGTCCTTGTTGGTGGATCCACTAGGATTCCCAAAATCCAGAAACTCTTGCAAGATTTTTTCAATGGAAAAGAATTGAATAAAAGCATCAATCCAGATGAAGCTGTTGCCTATGGAGCTGGTAAGTATTTTAATTTTCCTGAAATTAAAATGTGGATCTTTCTTGACTTTTTATGTACATAGTAAATCTTAGTTTGCTAACTTTTTTTTCCTGATATAAAGATTATTAATGCTTTACAACTATTCAGTGAGTTTTTAGTCTTTATAACTTTAAAACTACAAAGGAGACTAAACTTTGAGATACAGCACTAGAATTATTTAATGCTTCATTAAAGTTTAGTTGGGGAGAGAACTATTCTTATTGAAACAAAATTATTCTAATGTAGAACTAAATAATACAAATAGCTGAATCTTAATTTTAACTTTCCTTTTTCATTGATTTAATTTTACCAAGAAGTTATATTTTTTTATGTGCTCCACTTATTAAAATAGTAACTAAAGTTAAATAACTTTATTTTAAGAATGTTAATGGGATATCAAACTTTTGTATAATCTGGCATCTAAAACTTCTTTCCTCCAGGACAACATTATTCAAGCCCTAGGCAGTTTACTTTATCAGCTGGTTTACTTAAATACTAATGCAAAATAGAATATCTATTTTTATCTTGACAGTAGGTGTAAATGTTCTAATCTGTATCACTGAAATAAATTCTATATTCGAACTACACTAGGATTTTTTTTTTTTTTTTTTTTTTCTTCTTCTTCTTAAAATAAACTTTTTTTCAATTTCTTCCTTGTAGCTGTTCAGGCTGCTATTCTATCTGGTGACAAAGACAAGGAGGTCCAAGACCTTCTCCTCTTGGATGTTGCTCCTCTTTCCATGGGTATTGAAACTGCTGGTGGTGTCATGACTCCTTTGATTAAAAGAAACACAACCATTCCTACCAAGCAAACCCAAACCTTCACTACTTACTCTGATAACCAACCCGGTGTATTGATTCAAGTGTTTGAGGGAGAACGAGCAATGACGAAAGACAACAATTTGCTTGGCAAATTTGAGCTCACTGGCCTTCCTCCTGCACCCCGAGGTGTTCCACAGATTGAAGTCACATTTGACATTGATGCCAATGGTATCCTCAATGTATCTGCTGCTGATAAAAGCACTGGAAAAGAAAATAAAATCACCATTACAAATGATAAAGGTTAGTTCTGACACTCCTTTTATATAACCCTCTTAAATTATATTGCCTATTGAAGCTTGCTTTTTCTTTTCTTTTTTTTTTCTTTTTTTTTTTTTTTCTTTTTTTCTTTTTCTAAAACTGCTTCAATTTGTTTTTACAGGTCGTCTCAGCAAGGAGGAAATTGAGAAAATGGTTAATGATGCAGAGAAATACCGTCAAGAAGATGAGAAACAGCGGGAATGCATCAGTGCAAAGAATTCTCTTGAGAGCTATGCTTTCAATATGAAGTCAACTGTGGAAGACGATAAAGTAAAAGATAAGATTAGTGAATCTGATAAGAAAAAGATTGTTGACAAGTGTCAGGAGGTGATTACTTGGCTGGACCAAAACCAGTTGGCAGAGAAAGATGAATTTGAAGCAAAACAAAAAGAACTTGAGGGTGTATGCAACCCAATTATTACTAACCTCTATCAAGCAGCTGGTGGTATGCCAGGCGGTATGCCTGGTGGCATGCCAAACTTTGCTGGGGGTGCTCCAGGGGGTGGTGCTTCTACTGGTGGCAGCAGTGGACCAACAATTGAGGAAGTTGATTAAATGTCTTCATGAACTCCAATCTTGCATTAAAAATAGGAAATATTTAGGAAACTCAAAACCTCATCTTTCATCTTCAAAAACTCACCCATTTAACTTTATCTGTATATATTTTGAACATTTAAATACTACTAGACCAATCATGCACTAGATGACCTTTCTTGTCATATTGATGAGGATGGCACTTGTCTGAAATTTTACTCTTAATTTATGAAGAATGTTAAAATGAGTGACAGTTGTCACTGATTGCTGTAAAATACTAAATGTAAACTTTCTTCTTCCCAGACTTTCATAAGTGATTACTCATCAAATTAGTTTCATTGTGCTGACTAACTTATCTTTGAATACTTTTGCATACCAATAAAGGTTGTCTTGAAAGTTTTCTGAACATCTTGTATATGTTTTAGGATGACTTATTAAAAATTAGATGAATCTTGTATGGTTTTAATGTGCTTATTAACTGTTACAAGTTGGGTTTTCTCTGAGATATATATCATCTGAAATGAGAAACAACTAAGGAAATTTTGGTTTAGTATGGAGTGTAGCCAGACCTTTTGACTTGCAAAAAAAGCATTTGTTCTTGACTGCTAGAAACAATTCTGAATGTTAAAGTTGTTTACTTTTTTGAAACTTTAAAGTTCCAAAGTCTGCAACAAATATTAAGCTTAACATGTACACATAAATTTATGAAAACAATTTACCTGATTAACTTTTAACATAGCATTGGTGGTTTGTATTTATATGCAAGAAAGTGAAAATTTAAATTTCTTCTTTGTATAAATTTGCAAAAATTCAGTTCATCTCCTTGGAACAAAATGACTGTTATAACATTTGCTTCACCAAACCCGTATAGGAATTTTTTGTATAGTATAAAAGCTTCTCTAGCTATTTTGTCAATTTAGAGAAGCAGAATGTGTTTCTTTAAATATAATCTAAAAATGGACATTTAAAAAAGAAAAAAATGTGAACAGAGTGCATACTGTATACAAATAAATGGTGCCATTACTGATCCTACAAGGCTTTTTTTTTTTTTTTTTTTTTGTTCTCATCTCTTGATGTGGGGCTCTCTTCTTTCTTTTTTTTCTTTTCTTTTTTGGTGTGTATATGTTGGGTTTTGTTGAGTAAAAAATCTGCTTAGAACAAATTAGGATTGACTATTTTGATGTCAGTTGTGGCTTAGGTGATCATGTATTGAAAGATACATGACTAAGGTGGTGGATTGTAACCCTCCAAAGTAGGTTGCCATTTCACATTTCTTGCACTGGTAGGCCAGTTGCTCTAAGTCTAAAGAACCTATTTACCTATAACTGGGGCCAGAAAAACTTTAAAAATATTGTTGCAGCTGTGCATACTTCCAGTGCCCGTTTACTGGCATAATTTCAGTCAGTGCATTATTTTAAAACGTTGATAAACTATTTTTTGAAAAAAAGCAGAAAAAAAAAAAAAAACAAACTAATTTAATTTCTATCCTGGCTTGTGTAATCTTTAACATGAATATTAAAATTAAGGGACAGTTACAGGGAAGAGGAAAAAAAAAAAAAAAAGGTTGTCATTCAAATAGACAGACAAAGTTACTCATTATGTGGAGGTGGGGGTAATGGCTAGCAGCTCTGATTGAGGAATTGGAGAGCAGTTTGAATTCCAGTCAAATACATTACATTCACTTTGTGCTAATACCCATTTCTCCAAGGTATTGGTAAATAGCAGGACAGACTGGGTGCTATAGCCTTGGATGGCAACTGGTTTACTGCAGAAAGAAACAGCAACCTACTGTGGGGGGAAAAAATACATGCTTAGGTGATCATATATCGCGCATGGCACATAACTGAACAACTAACTTAACTTTCTTGCAACTTATTTAACAAACTTTCACCCAATTGCTATAATTTTTTTTTTTTTTTTTTTTTTTTTATATGAAAGTCTAACAGTATAGAACTTTATATACAGGATTTCCTCCCACATAATGGTAAGACATTGGCAATGTTATTTTGATATAGTTCAGTGGTTCTTAGCTGCATGGGGGTTCCTGTAATATTACTGGAGGTTCATTTTAAAATGGTTTATTACAAGTTATTCTAATTTAGATACATGTTCCATAGAATTCAGTTTACTTTCATCAAATTAGTTTTACTTCAAAAAGCAAATATTTACTATTTCTATAATGCAATTACTAAACTTTGTAAAGCATAAAATAAGCTCTTTTTCTTTTTATAATGGTTATGGGGATCCACCAAAATTAACAGTAAAAGTGGCTAGTGTTTTTTTAAAAAAAAAAAAAAAAAAGTTTAGAACCACTGGCCTAGCTAATGTCTTACCATTATGTGGGAGATGTTTTTGCTGCACCCTGTATAAATGGTGACTGATTAACATTTTACATCTGCAGAAAAATTTGAGTGAAAAAATGTAATCAGATGTCAAGTTTTCTAGGTACCTCCACTTTTTCACTTTAATTAAGAAAAAAAGCATAGTATGATGAAAAAAAAGCCTCAAACTTGAAAATAAGTTTTATCAAAATGTTTATGAAAGGGAGAGACCAATGTATTTTTTTAATATTTTACTAATATTTAATTTTAGCAATTTCAAAATTTTGGTTTAAAAAAAAAAATACCCAAGGTTTAAAATACATTTTTAAAAATAAAATTTTTTTTTTCTGGGAGCTTAGTTTTAATTTCAAGCTAAAAGATTAAATTTAATATTTCATACAAGCAAAATATCTTTCTGTATTTCAAAGTGAATTTAAATTGATTGGAATTTTTTTTTTTTTTTTTTAACACTAAAAATAGCTGATTTTAGCTATATTTACAAATCTCTCAGCACAACAATTCTCTACTGAAAATCTTTCAAAAATAAAATATCTGTCTATATTTCTGTACACTATTTACATTATTCAGACTTGTTCTCATCTCTATTGCCATATTTATCACGTTTCGGCCTTCTTCAGGTGGTTGGAATGTCGAACTGAACTCTATTTCACTCACTGGGGTAGACTGTTCTAATTTCACATGCCATGTTTAATGGATGTCAGTTATCTCCTGTTAATTCCCCTCTCCAAGTTCTCCACTGCCTTAACCAACCAAGCATAGAAATGAAATGAATCCAATATGGGAATTAGTAATTAGGAGATCCAGACAAAAGCGATAATAAAGATTGCAATATGAGCACTGGTTAAAAAAAAAATGTGGCTGAAGACATTAGGTTTATGATACACAGGAATTTATACACAGATGTCTTCAAGGACACATGGCTCAGTGGATAAAGGTGTTAGATCCAGTGACAGGAGTGTGAGTTCAATACCCGGTTAAGGCAGTGGGGAATAGAATTAACAGGAGATAATTGACATTCATTAAACATGGCACGTGGAACTCAAACAGTCTACCCCAGTGAGCGAAATAAAGGGTTCAAGTTCGACATTTCAACCACCTGAAGAAGGCCGAAACAATAAATATGAGGACAATAGTCTGATAGTGTTTTCTGAAACTTTATTTAAGTAACACCAATTTAAAGATTAATTAATGTGATTTGAAAAACTTGCAGAAAAACGTTTTTCTCACATGGTGGGTATTTTATGAAGGTGTTGACAGCTATCATAGACTCGTATTTGGAAATTTTTTTCTATGGGAAACAGGTCTAAAAATTACTTGTACACCATTTTTTATGCAATACTTTTTTTTTTTTTTTAAACTATTCAGTACTCTACTGTTTTATTGAATTTTAGCTTTAAAATTTACTATAGCTACTGCACTTATTTGGTGATATGTATGGATGTCTATACTTACAAAAATCAGCATGTTTATACATGCACAAAAAATATGGAGGGGAGGTTGAAGGTGATTGTAGTAAGCTTTTACCATTTGATTAGTAAATTAGTTTTAACAATGCCACCTAGCTGCTAGAAATTTTACAGAATTTTAAAAGATTAAAAACTATAAATTGAAAAAAAAAAAAAAATATTCTGGTAAAAATTCATTGTTCATTAAAAAAAAAAATTAAGCCAATAATGTCCATAACAATTATAAGTGTTTCTACTTAAATAATGTCAGTTTTGTTGAATTTTTTATTTTTAGAGCAGATTTCTGTAAAGGGAAGGGGGTGGGTACAGAAAAAAAATACAAAAAAGTATTAATGACTTAAGTTCTCCAACTACGTGTGATTATAACTAATATAAACATTAAACCCATAGTCAGTTATGTGTCATGCGTGATACATGCTTAGGTGATAATGTATCTTTCGATACATGACTGACAAGGCAAATTTTTTTTTCCCTGCAGCAGGTTGCCATTTCTTTCAAAACTGAATTTCATAAAATAAAATTAATAAGTGCGTTAGGTGGGGTGGGGTTTTGTGGAGTGACAAGTACATGTTTTTTTACCAAAATTTTCTAAAATAATTAAATTTAATTATTTTAGAAAATTTTTGTGAGTAAGTGCTGAAATCATTAAAATCTGTCAATTATTTGATTTTTGCAAGAACTTCCAAATCAGTGTTTTTCACTGTAAAAAGACACTAAAATTTCCTATACTAATTTATGGTCAGTTACTAACAAAAAAAAAAAAAAAAAAAAGATAAAAAAATTGAAGGTTCTAAAAAGGATTAACAAATAACTTAATTAAAAATCCTTTGGGCTTTACTCTTGATAAAGATTTTGACAATAAAACTTTTTTTTTTTTTAAGTTTGGAGCATTTTCCCATCATGTAAGCTCATTTTTTCAGTGAATCTTTGGAGGTATCTACTTAAAAGGTTCATGCTAAAACAGAACAAAAAAAATCTGCTCTGACTTATTTGATTTATCTAAATTCCTGTTCTTATTTATAATAGACTTTGTTATAAGTAAAACACTTCAACCAAGTACTTCTAGACACCTTCAAGTGCACACTATTTTGAACATGGGTTATCTTGTTATTTTGTTCCTGTGAGGTTTTTTTTTAACCAAATATTCACTTAACATCTTTAGTTAAATCTGTACTTCAGGACGGTGGAATTGTGGATAGAGGCGCTGGTTAATAGTGGTCACGAGTTCAATCCTTGGATCAGATTATAAGTCCTGTATGCCCTGAATGTCATAGGGGCATCACATACAATGGTGTGTCTTGGACAAGCTAGACTGACAGAGACCAACCTTTTTCAGGTTGGTTTGAATTCAGAGTTCTCCTTCTAGACTGGTTGGCAAACAAGACTATAGCACCCAGCCGTCCCATATCCAGGAGAAGAGATGGATTCATTTGAGTATAATCAATGGAACAAGCTCGACTGGAATTTGAACTCAGCTCTGATTTATCATTTCAAGTCACTATCCATGACATCACCATGGCCCCACCTGGATCAGATAGTGATGTTCATATAACGATTCAGCAGGGATGAACCAGAAGTAGTAAGGGACAAAATAATCAACACACGAGATATCCAATATCAACAAAAATAATAGGTATCTGAAGATGGCTAGAAGGTGCTTGGCTGAAACATTGTTTATAATAATCAAAATGAGAACAATTTGTTCAAATAATTCAAACAAGTCAAATCTGAACAATCTCAAAATAAGTTCAAATGAAAATACCAAAAACGTGTGGTATAGTACAGACCAATAACTTTTATTATGAATTAAATATAACAAGTTTGATGAGTTACATACTGGTATTAGTAACATAACACATTGATAACAGACACATATATGATATGTAATATGCACAAATGACATGGGTTGTTTGGTCATCAAAAAAAAAAAAAGAAAGCAAAATGTGTTTCTGATGAAAAATGTAAAATTGCACATTTTATGTGCTAAAGAAATAGATGCCTATTTGGATTTCACAAAGGAGTAAATAAAATGGCAGACTTTTCTCATTTAACCCCCCACCTTTTTCAAGATCCTAGCTTGGATGCAAATGAAATAAAATGTTGAATAAAGGCATTGAAAGTGAAGGCTCGAGAGATGCCAACCAAAAAGATTTTTAGAGAAATGTAGTAAATGTCCCAGTTCTTTTTTTGTGTGTGTGTGTATATATATATATATATATATATATATATATATATATAAAGTAATTACTCTGCTTTCAAAAATAATGGTAATTCATTAATGAAAAGAAAGGCTTTAATAAGTGTTATCCAACATACTGGAGATAATTTGCAAAAGAAAATAACCAGGAAATAACCCCCTCAACTTTTTCTGTTTAGAATGGTTTCATATTTCTTTAACCAATTGGCTGCAAAAACTATGGAATAAGTACAATCACCCAAAGAATGATTTTTCAACAAAATGTGGACATTAGCATTTCCATTTTTGTGAAAGGTCCAGGAGAGAGTGGGTTTACAAGCAGACATTTACTCCAACTGAAACAAATTTCTGCTTCATTGACATGAAAATAAGTTTATGATTGGTGGTGAGAGAGCAAGTAAAAGAAAAACGGATCTTTCAAATATCAGAACAGGATATTTTGCATATCTCTCCATGATGGACGTTTCAGCAAGATAATTTTTGCCAAATGTACAACCTTTTTAGAGAGAGCATCTTTATTAAATTAAAAACAAATTACAATTCAATTTCTGACAAGTCTTATAAAAAAAAAGAATGAAAAAATTAGCTTTAGAATTAAGAAAATTCTTTTTTAGTTGAATGAAATTTCAACTAAACTGGAAATTGTAAAATAGAAACCATTTGTCCCATTGCTGAGCAAATAAAAGGCAATTTTTTTTTTGTGTGTGTATGTGTGTGTGTGGAGGGAATAAAACTGAAGCAGCAGCAGCAGCAGCATGAAAATCACATGAACAATCTGGAAATGGCAAGGCACAAAAGGCAAGAGAAAGACGAATGAATCAAATCTAAACTAACAAAGAAAGCTTCAGTGATCATTATATGAAGGAAAGAGCACAGTATTTTAGGAATTAAAACAATTTCTCTTCAATAGACAAGAATGCAATCTTGGTAATTTCAAAATCAGTTGAAATTCTCTTGTTATTTCACTGTTTTTCTTGAAATACTGCCAGCAAAAATATTTAATTTCCAAAATACAAATTAACACTGACACTTTAATATGCTTTCTTTAAGAACCAAAAAGTGAAAATTATCAAGTGTTATTTCCAAGCTAGAGTCAAGTTAATTGATGCATTTAATTGTGTAAAGATCTACTTTTGATTATAAATAATTTTAACTCATAACTGGACAGTTAATATCTTCATGTAAATCAGAATGACAATTTAAAAAATACTTTGTGCACATCTCAATTGCTTTGCTTTTAAGAGTGAGAAAAAAAGCACACAACTGGTTGTCCACAGATAAACAATCACAAACAATGAGATTAACTTTATCCAGGATAGCATTATATTGTAAAGGATTTATGTCAATATTTGAACAGCTTTTATAATCTTTAAACTGAAATACAGTATTTGTACTTAGATTATGTCATTAATATATTTTGTATTACAGAAGCTGAAAGATTTATAGTTAGATTAAAATTAATCCTTTTAAAAAGAAATGAAAAAGATTTTAATCCTTTAGAGAATACAACAGCAACCAATAAATTTATTTTTAGTGGCAATAGCAATAAGCAACTTCTACTAAATCTAATAGAATTCTAAGTGTTAATTGTCAAAGTAGAAACAATCCTAACTGATTTTTGCTACAACATTATTAAGCCTGCAATATTTTATGTACAGCCATAAAAGATTGGGTAATATTTCAGATTAGTTTGGTTTTTATATAGATTAAAAGGAAAAAAATAGTTTCATTTAGAGTTAATAAAACATTTCTGACAAGGCTTTGAAATAAAAGCAAAATTGAATATGGAACAGATGCAATCTCTGAATACACAGTGAATGAAAAGTAAATAAAGAGAAAAAAAAAAAGTATAAAAAATATTTTTGTGGACATTTGTTTATCACCCCCAGCCCAAGACCTTTTTGACAGAAATGGACCCAGATGCAATGAATTTGAAGATTAATAAGAATGAAAAGAAAATTTGGCATAAAATGATGTTAAGAATTTGTTAAATAAGTTGAAAAAGCCGAGTCTTCATCTTTTGAACAATTCAGGCACTTCCTTTTAAACAAAGCATTTCCAATGAAATTATACAGAGCAATGACAGGTGCACATCCCAATTTCACAGGCTAGTGAGTTTTCTCTCTCTCTCACTGAATGTTCCACAAATCTGTCTTGCTACATTTGGCTTCACTGTGTTATTTAATGTGCATTCTGGAAGCTAATATTTATTTTCAAAAAGATGCATTTAACAAAAAAAAAAAAAGAAGTTTATTATTAAACCTTACAGACTGTCATACTTCCTGACGTAAAGTGAGTAAATTCTCATTAATTTCTTAAAATATTGAGAAGATAGATTTGTTACACAGCTAAGAGGTATGAGGAAAATAAGAGTAAATGAGAAAAGCCTTAAGTAGAACGTAAAAACGTTTTAGGCTTTTGTGTAGATGAGTGGTGAAAATTGAAGTAGAAATATTTCCATAGTTAGGTGGGGAAATGTTATCAAGCAAAAGTTCTCTCAATAGATACAGGAATAAAATTTACCAGCAGGATTAAGAGAATATCTTTTTCTTGTAGTAATACATTTTTAATTTGCAGCCCCACTAAACTTTCTGCCTCAATGAGTCTATTTATTCTGGTTTTTTTTTTCTTCTCTCCAAGTCAAAAGATTTCCCCATCAGATATGAAACTTTTATTTATCTTCTGTTTTTTTTTTTCTGTTCGACTCTAGAGATTTTTCTTCAGGTGTAAAACTTTTGCGCACAAGAAACACGTTGCCATCACTTGACTGTTGTAAGCAATATTCTTGCGGATCGTAAGGGTTGCCAAATTCATCTCTTAGTGATGCAAACACTTCTTGATAGTACACTTTGTATTTTTCTTTCATTTCCCGTGTTTTCCGGTCGATTACATTTCCTTCCAGTAGCAGTCGATTGCGCGTCTCACGCAGGTTCAAGACTTCTTCCTCTAAAGTGCCGATAACATTCAATTTTCTTTTGCGACAATTCTGGGCAGCCACTTTGTTCTTACCTCGACGTCGAATGTCACGGATGAGACGCATGTGTGACTCTGGCAGGGGATATTTCCGTACCAGCTCATTGAACTCCTCGACTGAAGAGTCAATGATCTGAGACATGGTTAAGGGAACATTCAATTCACGCAGACGTTTTTGATCTCTGGAAGTGGGTCCTCGAGAATGAGACATCGCAGCAGATTTGGAACCTTTGTGCGGACCAGGTAGCATTTCTTGGCGCAATGATTTTGGATTTGACAAGGAAGATTTTTGTGGCTGGGGATGCTGCTGTTGTTGCTGCTGCTGCTGCGAATGTTGCTGGGAATAAGTGTGATTGTGCTGAATGTGATTAGTATTGCTTGGTTGGTAATTAAAATCTGTGTCATTGGATGAAGTCGAATGGTTCATGCTGGCTACTTGCTGACCTCCCATTGATCCATAACTGCAATAATAACTGCTGTTTGGCTCAGTTTTCACAGCTCTGTGACCATTAGCACTACCACTGCTGCTGCTGCTGCTATCATAATCACTGCCACCAGTAGCACCTTCAATGTGGTCATAAGGAGATGGGTTATGGCTATCGTTAAAATCCTGTAAAAAGTACAAAATGATTAAAAAAATTGGAGCTGAAAAATAAAGATGAACGTATTTTTAACATTTAGCTCTCTGCATTATTAATATTACTTCCCTTTCCACTGCATTCTTTTTCAGTGTCTGTCAATAACAATGTCCTTATTGTTAATTTCACTCAAAGTTGTTTTCTGTTGCCATAGCAGGATATGACAACACAAGTATGAAATTCAAATTCAGTGGCAGGATAAACTTTTTGTATATCAAATACAAAGTGATAAAGCACTTTTAACTTGAGGTGAATTTGCAAAGCTAAAATGAATTCCAATTCAAATTAACAGATGATAAAGATGGGCTGACAGTAGAAAATGAAATTGGCAAGAGTTCAAATTCCAGCTAATCATATTGGATTCGGTTTGCACTAATGTCTCTGGAAGGGGTATAGATCTATCTCTTTGCACCTCCCCTAGGGCTAAAATAGTATAGCATACTAGGATTTGTAGCCTTGGTTGGCATCTAGTTTAGGACAACATTGAATACTGATTGGGCAGGGAGCTAGTAACCTGAATGCTAATGAAAATACAACAATGTCACAGAGTATGATATCATTGTAGTCCTATGCACCATTTACTTGAGAGGTGATAGGTTCAAAGGTAGAAAAATATCAAATATTATCTCTAATTTATCAGTTGCACAGCCCAATCTCCCTTTCTTAGTAATGAACTACACCACTTTTATGGTAGCAGGAAGCATTAATAAGTGAGCATTGACATCTAATTAGTAAAAAAAAAAAAAGAAAAAAAAAGGGAGATCAGAGTGATGATAAATTGCTTTTTATTTCTTTGTATAATATTAGATTTTTTGGGATTATTTACTTTTAATGATTTAAAAAGTAGAATCATTTCTTATATTTAACAGCAGAGTTAACCGTATCAGCTCCTAAGAGATTTCAATCGTTAATTCCATGGAGTCCTGACAAAATTTTGGAAAAATCTGAATATGTGATGTTAGTGCAATTAAACTGATATACACCAAAAATTGTTAAAAGTCAAATATTACAAATTGATTTCATATGAGAGTAAATTGATTTCTCTTTCAAATGATATCAAATTTAGCTGGTTATGAAATATGGTTTTAGAAATCTACAACTTTTACAAAGTTGCAGATTTTCAGCCTCTGCAGTTGATCATGAGACAGGCATTAATAGTTAATACTTTTTTTTTTTTTTTTAAATACAGTGCGACCCAATTGCAGGTACATTCAGCCACTTTTTGACTGTATTTGTCAATTGTATAAATAAAAATTCCTCATCAATACAATTGCAAAATTATTGAAATATGGTCATTTTTTGATGATATAGGTAAACTAAAGATAAGAATGCTCCAAAAATTAAAAAAGAAATTAATTCTAAACTGTGTAGTGTTAAAATTTATCATATATACTTGAGTATAGGGCAAATTTTTATGATCATTTTTTTTTTTAACACAAAAATAAGAGATTGTACTATATACAGGTAATGTTTTTGAAGAGGTTAAAAATCCTGCATTTTCAGTGACCAGTTGCACTATACACAGGTAAATATTTTCTGAGGGGGTTAAAATTGATGCAAGAAAATTCAGGGGTTGCACTCTACATGGAATCAGCTTATACACAAGTATATATGGTAACTAAATTATTTTAAAATTCCAACTATTCTTCTGAAAATAAACATCTCTGAAACAAAATATATGTACCTGGAATGGTGAGGCTGAACCCGCTAAAGAGCAAACAGCTGAGTCACTGCTCCCATCATCCATCAGACCTGCAACAACCAATCAAAATTGGAGGAGAAATTAAGAATGAAAAGACCAAAATAGGAAGATGTAAAGAACCCTAGTTAAGGATATGTTACAATTATGAAAGATCTTTTCATTTAGCAGCAATATTTGATAATTGAAGATCAAATTATGCAAGATTAAACAAAAAAAAAAAAAAAAAAAAAAAAAAAAAAGAAACATATTTCAATTAGGTATTCATTATAATCAAATTATTTCTAAGTCATTTATACACTCTGAGATTTTCTTATGCAAATCAGTGCTTCCCAAATAGAATTGACATTAATCAACAGATGTTGGGAAAATTTCAGAATATGCTTATATAGGTACCTCCACGAGATCGCTAAAAAAAGAGCATAGCATGATGAAAAAGACGCCAAACTTGACGAAAACAAAATTTTATCGTCTAAATGTTTGTTATTATTAAGAGGAAAGGTCAAAGTATTTTTTAAGTATTTTTTTCCATTTTTAATCGTTCCTAGCACGTCCGAAATTTTCGTTAAAAATCTATTTTTTTTTTGAGTAAGCAAAATAGATCATTTTTTTCCACTTAAAAAAAAAACTGGAAATCTGACTTTGAAATTTTTTTAAATATCAATTATCATTTTTTCAAAACTTATTTTAAGAAAATCAGAAATTATAATGTTTATTTAAAATATTTTGAACTAAACTTAACTTAGCTTTTGTGCCAAAAAGATGTAATTTGAAAATAAAACAAAGCAGGTCATAAACTTTGGCGTCTCTTGACATGTGATGAATGATATATTTACTGAATTCCATGAGGCTAATTTGTTCTACGGAAGGAGAAAAGTGAAATAATTTACATTTACGTGAACAAATTATTTACCCGTTATTTTTAACGAAAACTTTCAGCGTCTAATTTTTTTTTTTGTACTTAGCTTTCACCTTTATGTTTATGATGCTTTATGGGAAATATATTGTAAAAAAATTAAAATAAAACTTAAGAGTGACATTAAATTTCATATTTCTTAAGAAAGGTATCTAATTAATTTATAGGTACCTTTCTTATGAAATTTTATCAGAATTGTACATAAAATACTATAATTTTATGTACATTTATTACATTCTACTGTTATTTGTATTTGCATTCATTTTATTATTAATTTTGATATTTCATTTATGGAAAAATGTCGAAACTGAGATTAATATAAAAATAAGATCATATAAATTTCATAAGATGATACTGATACTTGTAGGTACCCTTCTCAGTTGAAATTGAAAAATCAAATTAACTTCTCCACACGTGTTTCGCAAAAGTAAAGGCCTTAACAGCGGAGAACAATGCTTAACTCAAATAACGCAACTTAATTATATTCTGGTTGGTCTTCCGTATTTTATAATTACAGCTCGATTATAAGCACAAAATTACATTTCTTAATTACTGGGTATCTTCTGATTAGTCAAAATGATACAATTTACAACGCCGCTAAAAAAGATCTATCTCATAAGGACACTTATCAAGGCCGATCACGACTTTTAACTAATTTTATAATATTTTAACAACTCAAATGTAAAATCTATTATAATTAATGAAATAACAAATAATTGTATTAAAAATTCATTTTTCATCGAAAAAAATTTTTTTTGCTTTCAGAAAATATTGTCCATATTCATAAAAACAACTAAAAGCAAATAAAAGCATTTGAAATTAAATAATATATTTGTTTTATTGAGTTTTGTATGTTACAATTCAGAGCTGATTTTCAGGTACTGCGTATCCAATTAAAAAAAAAAAAAAAAACATGATTTGCATTCCTCAAAGCCCTGTGCTTTTAATTATTGTAATCACTAAAACCTATGCGATCGAATTTCTAAGCGTTTTCATAAAATTAGTTAGGGGGGTAATAAATATTTTTAAAAATATTTCTACCATGACTTTCATAAAAAAAAAAACATATTTATAATAATTTCGATCATCTGTGAATAGTTCCTGAAAGTTTCATTAACATCCGATAATTATTTCTATTTTTGCATGATTTTTCAAATTAATGTGTGTCATACCAAAAAAATGTGCTAAAAATTGTCTATGTTATTTACTAGCTCCGCTGATACAAACAGAAACAAGGTTTTTTTTAATCAAAATTTAGAATGTTCTAAAAAGAAGGAAAATTTTTTAAAAATAATTAAAAAAAAACTTTGGTCTTTCCTCTTAATAATAACATAAGCATTTAGACAATAAAATTTTGTTTTCGGCAAGGTTGGCGTCTTTTTCATCAAGCTATGCTCTTTTTTTAGCGATTTCGTGGAGGTACCTATGCTTATATGATAAATATATCCCATGAATTTCTGCTTATAGATTGAGAAAGTTGACCAACAATCTCAGAGGAATCAAAAAAAAAAAAAAAAAAAAAAGAAATTGAAAACATTGATAAAATAAGAAGTAAAATAAAAATAACAAAATTAAAAATATTAAAAAAAAATTACAAAATTCAAGAGAAATAAGCAAGAAAATATCTGAAGTACCCAGTGTTGTGAATGAAAACTCTAAGATTGTGTGCACACACACACGTGTGCAATATATATATATATATATATATATATATATATATATATACACACACACACGTGTGTGCAATATATATATATATATATATATATATATATATATAATATATATATATATATATATATATATATATATATATATATACACACACACACACAAAAATATATATATATATATATATATATATATATATATATATATATACACACACACACTGCTGTTCGATAAAAGTGACTCACCTGATTTTTTTTTACTAAATATTCTCTTCTCCGATGAAACGAAAGTTGAGCTAAATTCAAAGGATAAAGCGATCTAAAATTCGAAGAAGAAACTTTGCAAGCTCTTTGAATTTAGCAGTAAGTACTGTCAAGCATCCATTCAGTATAATGTTCTGGGGATGCTTTTAAACTTCATGGAACTGGTTTCTTAAAACCTATTGAAAAAGACCCTCAGGAGCAGTAGTAAAGAGAATTTTAGAGTCTTGTCTTCTCCCTTCTGCTGAAAGGGTGCAAATCGACCCCACCAAGCTCATTTTTATGCAGGATAATGCTCCCTATCACAAATCAAAATTGATGAAGGAATACTTTGATGAGAACTAGGTGTGTTATGTTATGAGCGTCCCAATCCCCTGACCTCAACCCCATAGAAAACTTATGGAGCATGTTGCTCAACTGCTTTCTCGGGAGCCTGTACTTTATAATGCTCCATAATATATTTTTTTCTGTCACGTAAAACTATTTTATCAGGATAAAGAGGAATTCATAGAGAAGCAAAGCTTGTGTAACAGTCTGTGCAAGTACAGCTTAAAAAGTAAATTCAGATTTACCTTCATCAAGATTAATGTTTGGCAGAGTAAGGTTTCCCATCATAGTGTTTCCACGTAACATCTTCTCAATTTCCATCAGTGAATTGCTTTCGTTAATAGCAGCAGAAATATTAGAGAACAACAAGTTCTGATTATCCCATTCAGAAGAATGGCCTGAACTTCCATTCAAAAATGAAGAAGAGTTGCAAGATAAACCTGGAAATAATAAATAAAACAAACTTGGATTAATTTTCATGTGTTGCGGCAAAATTAATTTGAATAATTAGTTAAATTGAAATTCATGTAAACATTTCAGCTTTCTCAACATTTAAATGCATTGTTTCAAGTCAAAGAGATTTCTTTCTCTATTACATATAAAGCTGAACAAAGTTTGTTCAATCATTTTGAATATATTCAATTAATGAACCCAAATCAAAATCTGGTAAAAACACTTCCAAACCTAGCCAAAAATCCGCTATCCATATTCTGAAAAGCTTTTAACAAGCCGAATGACCAAAAATGTTGCATGCTCTGCCAGCTTCCTGAATTGACCAATTTTGGACTTACATGACTTCTGGTTTTCCCCAAAACTAAACTTTCTATTGAAAGGGAGGAAATAAATTGTTGACAAGATTAATGAAAACTCTAGACTGTAACTCATGGTGATCTTGAAAATGACTTTGCAGAGTATTTTGAAAAATAGAAGTGATCCTGAGATAAGAGGTTCCAAGAGGTGTATTTTTAAGGCACCACTGTCCTAGGTAGGCTACTTTTTTTGTTAATATTAAATGGCTGGATCAATTTCTGCACATATCTTTTATAAACACACACAACGAGTGGCTGTTGAAAACTTCTTGAGCTGTCCCACTTCTCAAATTCAGTATTTCAAGGATCATTAGAAATCTTTTTTTCGGAAGAAACTAGAAACAATATGCCAAGTGTGTTGAATTATGGAATGAATATGTTAAATAACATGTACATTTCATGACTATAGGTTATTCTTAAATCAGCCTTTTAAACAAAAGAATTGGATCATAAAATTTTTCTTGGCTGTGCGTAATTCATCAGTTGCTTAATTACAGTTTATCTTTGTTATATATATATATATATATATATATGTATGTATGTAAAAAAAAAAAAAATTCCCCTCACAAAGAAATTATTTTCTTCATTACAATTTATATAAAACAAAGTTATTAACAAATGAAATAATTAAGAGAGAAAAAAATTATTACTTGTATTAAAAAGATTTCCACAACCCATTTCTCCAGATGGTACAGGAAGTGTGGCATTCTGAATCAGTTCTCGGCTATGAGATGGATTTTCAACAGAAGTTTCTGAAGATCCCATGATCTCTCTCCACCAGTTATCAAGACTGTTCTGTCTTTCATATACATTAGGCTGAAATTAAAAAAAAAAAAAGTGTTATATCAAACTCCATGAGGCAAGGGAACAATTACCATATACAAAAGAGTTTTTCATGAAATAAGATACTAAATTAATATTACAAATCTATACATGGCCTCCTTATTACCAAATATATTAAATGACAGACATACATAGACAGAAAGGAAATTGAACATAGAATAAGCTGAGCTTGGGGTAGTTTCACACAATACCATAAGTTGCTACAAAACCAAAACATTAACCTAAAAACTTGAGTTATTTTATAGTCTCATCAGATGGAGACTTTCACATAAATGTCATGCATGGCATTCAGAAATATCTAAACTGTCAGCTCTATACAGCCACTTTCTCAGATCAATGAATGAAAATGGCATTCAGCGAATGAAGCCTGTAGATTTTAGTGAGAACCATCCTTCTTTTAATATCATAGACTAGCACTACAGAATCACAGAGAACTGTACCAAATAATAGAAATTATATTACTTGAGGACTTTCAATAACAGCAACAACTAAAATGGATAGCATATGTAATTCAAAGTGGAAATAATGACAAGATGTTGATGTTCCACAGCAATTCAAACAAAAGGTTAGGAAGGAAGCAATAATCCTACCCGAACTATTGATACAAGAAAAAGATTTTATAAATTTCAACCAATGATAGAATTGGCTGCTTGGTTAATGAAAATCAAATGTTTCTTCATAAGGAAATGACTAACAATTACCATTACCATGAGAACAGATCCTACACTTTGATCCCAGCCCGATGACCAGAGAGTGAAGAAAAGCACTGCTCAATCAATGAAGGCTGTGTTTCCTTATAAGGAAACAGCTAATATTATCATTACCATATATTTACTAATTTTTTCTCAAATGAATATCAATTAGACCAGTATTTCTCAACCTTTTTTTACTTTAAGTTGCACTTGGAGAATAATTAAAACTCTGGAGCACACTTCAGATTAAATTTGATTAATAGGAAAATAATAAAGATGTTTCCTGAAGTCAGCATTTATTTTGAAGACATTACATTGCATATTTAAGTGGTACAGTTTTCATTTAAAGGGATTTATGAAGAATCTGCTATTTTTTTTTTTTTTAGAAAGGCTGATAATAATGGATTTAAATCTCTTAGGGAAGGCAAAAGGGAAAGGATTATCCACTCCTTAAAAGATTAAGGAATTTATCATCCAGCTTAAAATATCAAATGACAAAAACTTGATTTAGACATGGAATCGATGTGTCAAGATTTTTAAAAATAAAGATTTTTTTTTTTAAATATAAAAATAATTCATAAATTGCTTTTTTGTTAACTTGGCGTGCACCTGACTAAATTTCTGGGTGCATTAGTTCACCTAGGCACACTAGTCAATGGAGAAAATTCATTTGACTTCTATCATTCCTCCATTTCTTTCAGAATTTGTTTGGCGAAAACAAAAAAAGCAAACAACTTAAAAATCCTTACCTGCTGTGATGGTGGTGGTGGTGGTTGTTCCTGGTAGTAATTAACATTCATAGATTGATCCTCGGGACAACTATTGGTCACATTTGAGGAACAAGGCAGTAAGTTGCAGCCAAATGAAGGTCCACTTAGTTGATCAGAGGACGTATCAGAGAAGTTAGCAATCTGATTACTAGCAAGGTAATTGTCTAAGTAATGTTCTAATGCTGGTTCTTCACTAACATTCTTCCTGCTTTCAATATCCAGAGTCTGTAAAGCCTCTTCTAAGCTGGAATTCTAAAATGTAAATGAAAAGCAATTTTTAAAAATTAATTAAAGGATTTTAAAATCAGACCAGATAATAAATAAATCAAGTTTATTAAAAGCCATTAAAATGTGAGATATTTCATTAGCTAAGAATCAAACAAATAAAAAAAAAATAAAAGACAAGATTTACATTGTTCAGGCTGCTGTACTCAATCTTTATTGTTGTATTCATGACGTTCAGGTGATATACATTGGAAGAAGGCCTGAACATACAACAGCTGAAACACTGTGAATATAACAATAAAGATGAGGACAACAGTCCAAACAATGTAAATAATATAAATAGTTACAATATCTCATCTCAAAAATATAGATGTTGAAAGACAAGAATTATTTGAAGACAATATTTTGAATTCTTCTGACACGAGAAAACCAAAATAAATGTACTATTTTCACTCTGTAGTAGTGGTTGGTTAGTGCTATCACTAATTAGCATATGTGTAGACATTATGCATAGGCATACTATGTAAGATAGAAGTAATGGTACTTGTACTGCTCATACTGTTAGGATCTCTTAGTTGTGACTGTCTTCTGGCAGAGTGCAGTTATGTATGTCTGTGGACAGCACAGCTGAAAAAAATATTTATGCATCTTTTTCTGTCAGTGTTTCAAATGGAGAAAAATTGTTTAATGATGCCTGATCCCAGTGAACAGCTGCCCACAGCAGTACCCAACTCATTGCACTAAGAGGAGGTATTGGTAGTAACACCAATGTCAGTGCCACCAACAGCTGTGGAGGCTGGGCAATTTTTGACCCTGGTCTGGGTGTATGCACTCGGGCACCTCACATTAAACTGACCTTTTGTCATATCCCATCACCACGAGGGAGGGGGAACGAGTAAATACTACAGTACTTGGACTGCAGAACCAATATTGACTGCATACAAGTGTAATCCCTATTTGGAATATCATAAATGACAATACAAAGTTTTATCCCAACACTCCATTCTACAAATCTTTCAAAACTGAATTCAAAAATTTACTTTAAATAAACATATACAACTAAATTCAATCTAATAAAAATAATTTTAAAACATTTACAAAAAATGGGTCCTGTAAAAGTTAGTTGCTATTTTGGTTTTAAGGATAATTGAAATATTTTATAAATGTAGATCTTTTTACATTCAAATTGAAATTATATATTGTTTCTTAAAACCTACTTCATAACTTTTCCTCTTACTCATGATTAGGGTTTGCAATTATTAAAATTTGTAGACTACCAGTAAAAATTGAGGTGAATTTAGTTTTTTTATACTGGTAAATGACTAACATGGAATAACTGTAAGCAAAATTGTAATTGGTTGTATTTACATGGTACTGACTTATCAATTGCAGGGATGCTCTGTTTAGATGAAAATCTGGATGCCAATAATCGCTTCAGTCATAAATTCAGTTGAAAATGATAGTCTTTCCTTGCAAATCAGATAATAAATGGTAAAGATGAGCAGTGCAGATTGAGCACCTTTTATTTGATGCGTGATGCAGTGCTGTTGTTTAAAAACTTTAATAAATTGTAAGTCACCAGGAAATCATTAAACAATTTTTCTCCATTTGAAACACTGACAGAAAAAGATGCATAAAATATTCAGATTTTATTGCATATATTTATTAAGCTTAAATCGTTCACAAAAAAGAAAGAAATATATATATATATATATATATATATATATATATATATATATATATATATATATATATATATATATATATACACACACACACACACACATACATACCGGAATATTAGGATTCAAAGGAATTGACCGCAAAGCCAATTCTGATTGGTTGTTACTTGTAGTGGGTTGAAGTGGTTGTTCAGTAACATTTATTTGTGATACATTTCCATAATTGCAATGCTGCAATTGGGGTGGTTGCTGCTGCTGCTGCTGCAGTGGGGGTGATGGTGTCTGCTGTAGAGGGATCCATTCACCTTTGATAAAATTTAATCAAAGCTATTAAACAATAATGAAACATCATTTAAATGATTTTTTTTATTAATCCAATTTAAGGACAAATGATTTTTATACAGATTGTTTATATTTTTTAAGATAGAAGAAATGATTATTTGAACAAAGTTTTTCTAATTTTAAATGAAAAATGTTTTAATAATAATTTCTTTAATGCAGAAGTCATCCTTGTATCCAAATGTCTCGATGTTGCCATTTAGATGTAAGAATTTGCAACATTCTAATATTTTTCTTTTCTTTGCAAATCATTGTTAGTAACTTGGGATTTCTCAACCTATAATGTCTTGCATAGAAGAAACTTCAACTGGAAGAAAAAGGAAAAGAAATTCTTTCACATTATGTCAGAAATTAGAGATTACTGAAAAACTGGACACTGGCACAAACTCATCTGACATATTGCAGAATCTAAACGAAACACTAAAAATTTCACTTGAAGATGATTCACTGAGTACTCTCACTTTGGATGACTTAAAAGAATGGATAAATGAAGACGCTAATGAATTACAAAAAAATTCAATGGTATAATTGCTTTGAAATAATTTGGATTGTCAAGAAATAGAGGAAGAATCAAATTCTGCTAATGATCAAAATATGAAGGATGAAGAACTGGGACTCAGTAGAGAAAGCTATTGATGAGGTCATCAAATTCAAGGAGAAAAAAAATCTGTTCAGTAGTACAGAATGTACAAGTGTACATAATTTGCAGAAAGGCCGTATTTAAAAAAAAACAAAAAAAAACAAACTAGAACAGCAAAAAGTAAGTAAAATGAGAAAAGAAATAAGAAAAGGCAATTGAAAATAACACTTACTGAGCCTTAAACATTGCAAATTAATATTTACTTTCATGAGACAATTTTTCACATATTGCAATAAGTTCTTGTGTTTTTTACTAAGTTAGTTATATTACACATGCCAAATTATATCCGAACCCATCCTCATATCCAAACTACACTGAAGTTCATATATGAGGACTTCTACTGTATTATGTAACAACTACAATCAAGTCAATTGGGCAATTATATTTTTGCCTACAAATCTTACAACCCAATCATCTCTATCTATAAAAGGCAGGATGTGTGTGTGTGTGTGTAACGAATGCACGGCTGCAATTTTCGACGGATTTGCACCAAAATTTACATGCACATGCTCCAAGTTAGTGGGAAGGCCAAGACCAACTTTGCATTTCCCAACTCCCATCGATAGTGGAAATAATCAATTTTTTCATGCTTCTACGGCAGTTTTCATGTAGTTTGTGGCCATTTTGTACTGGCCAGAGTGAGAGCCAATAGCTGGCTGCCACGAATAGGCAGGAAGATTCTATTGGCCAGCGTGAGAGCCAACAGATGACTGACACGAATGTTAACTAGCATGCAAAAAAAAAAAAAAAAAAAAAAAAAATCGATAGCTGCATTCGTCACAAGTGGGAAAAATTTAAATCTGCATGACACTTTACTCCAATTGTCTCATTCGCTTGCTTAAACTCAATGTTGATTCTGATTCTGCAGAACTGGGTTGAGTGTGAAAAATTATTTGTTGTTAACATTCTTTTTTTCATTTGGTTTTTGCAGTTACGAGTCCTTTTTTAAAGCTGGTCATTTTGTTTAGTTCTTTTTTTGTAACAGATTTAATGTTTAGTATAGAGCTTAGAAAAAATTCGCAGTGTGAGATAGGTAAGAAGTAAGGCATGTAGCAACATCAGCACGGCAAAGGGCACTCCTTTAAAGGCAAGGAAGGGCAAAAATATTTTAAGTGATAGCGATTGCTGTATGAGTCATACGATTTTTTAATCAAGCACGAGCAATGCTAGTATTATATATATATATATATATATATATATAAAAATCAAATTGAGTGTTAAATAATAGAATAATTAAAAAAGAAATCAGTTTATATTCTAGAATATAAGAAATGAATTTCTTATTAATGAGAAGATTTTTAGAATTAGACTTATAAATAATCCGATGTCAAAGATTTCACAAAGTTGACCTATGGTGGCAAAATGTGTAGGCAAATAAATAACTGACCAAGATAAGGAACTTTCACATATTTTAAAAAAAAAAAATATATATATATACTTAACTTTACCATTTGAAAATGGATCAAATCTAAAGTTATCATCATCCAAATGACATTTTGTTAATATTGTAGCAATATGATTTCTCACACATCCTTAGATAAATAGACAGATTCTTTTTCATTTTAACTCAATTTAATGACCAGGTTTTCTCAGGAATCTTGTCTCTGGCCCACCTTTGAACTGTCGGACAAAGTTTTGTTATTGTTTTTGCATAGCTGTAAAAGTAGGGTCCTTTGAAAAACTAACCACCCAAAACCTGTCTAGGTGGTCCTAATTTCCATTTAGTGGAATATGAGTAGACGGAAAGGGTTGGTATGTCCCCCAGCCAGTGAAGAGCCCAGGCAGTGAATGTGTAAGGGTTCATTTTCTGTGGCTGGAACTTAGTGAGAAGTCCGTTAGAAAAAGTTTGCTTTCATGTAACAGAAGAAAGACATTGCTAACTAAGTGAGAAATCATATTTTTTTCTACTTCCTGACCCAACAAGTGTCTTGAAAATCATTTGTTGCTAATTGTTTTGTTGATGGTGATCATGGCTCTAATTGAGACAAATCTGAGCTGAGATGTCATCACAGCTGGTGCAATGATGTGCAGAATTGCATTACCACAATATTTCAATGTTATTAACATTGTAGAAATTACCACTGTAACTGTTTGTGATTAACACTATTTTCTAAATGCTTGAATTTAATTTTTGTTCATATAATTAGAAAAATTTAATAATAAACTCTCATTGTATTAACACTTTAGCATTCAACCCACCCTGTAAATATCAGCTCTCAATGCTCAACCTGCTGTAACTCACCCCATGTTAACTCTGCCATAATGTAAACTGACAGCATAGCAAATAACAAAGGAAGTCACACAAACAATACAGGGTGGGTTTGAGTGTGTTGAAGGCTAAAGGGTTAAAGACATAATTTGAGAAAAAAAAATGGATGGGTACTGTAACAATTATCAGAGGAGAAGTAAAATCAGCAAGCAGGGTTCTAATCTTGGCCTAGTTGTTTACATTCACTTTTGCATCAATGCAAAAGAATGAATCCATCTCTTCAACTCCCAGTTATGGGTTAAATAGTAGGCTAGACTGGGCCCTCAATATTTGGGAGGCAGCCAGTACAGATGAAAGACAACTCTAGAATCAAAACTGTGGAGAATGCAATGGGAAACCATTCCACTATCTTTCCCAAGTCATCATGGCAATTCAGATAAGAAATGGAATCTGAACTGGGTAATGGTTACCTACATCCAAAATGGACATGACATTTAAAAAAAAGAAAAACCAAGTTATTTTAGAAAGCAATTTAATCAAACATGGCAATAATTATAGAAGTATTATCTTAAAATTTCAGCATTCAACACAAACTCTCCCTGTAAATATGAGCTCTCAAAATCTCACCTTTTGTGATCAAATATTCACTGTTTTAATGACTCAGTGCATTATTTGTGAAGATGTCATCATATATTATAGTAGAGTATACATGTTGTAGGTTATGGTAGGTTGAACATTGGAGAGGCAATATTTACAATGTGGGTGGAATACTAAAGAGTTAATGATTATTTAGAAACGGATACAATTTTCTCAACACTCTAGTTTATATATGTATGTCCTGATTGACTACATTCCAAATGTAGAATTATGTTTGAGCCTGGAATGAGTTTTAAAATAGATTCAAATATTAAATTATGTGAACCAAAATCAAAAAGATACTTGATCTGATTGGTTTAAAATTTATGAAGAAGACTGCAGCAACAGTATACATTTCCTGATTATATTTCTCTTTATAATTTGTTAATTACTTCACATGGGAAATAATGAAATGTTTATGTCCTTAGAACTAAATATTGTTATTATCTATACAGCTGAATATATATAAATAATTGTTAATGTGATTTTTTTTTAATATAAAACTATTTTTTCACAGCGAGTTCTAATTAAATAAACATCTAAAAAGAAATGGCAAATGAAATTTGTAATAATAGCTTTCAGGTAAAATAATTTCATTCAACTGTTTTCCTTACCTGTCTCGGTGTCCCTCGTATAATTTTCCATCAACCATTGTTGCTTAAGTCGGTGTTGCTCTTCTTGCAATTTCAGCTGGTGAAGTTCAAGCTGCTTGTGCTGAAGGTTAAAAAAAAAAACGTTGGGGAAACATCAGCAATAGCATAGAGGACTTATGAATTTTAAAAACATTGCAGTTTAACTATTTAGTGGATGCATAGCAAGCCTTTATTAGCACTAAACAAAAATATAATTTTTTTTTACTCACAAGAACAGAGAAATCTTATTGAAAAAAAAAAAACAAGATTTATATCTTTAAATACCGAATATAACAATAAATGTAACTTATTTTCATATTAAACTTCTTTTAAATATTTATTAGTTATATATAATATCTCTACATTATGTATCAGTAATAAAAATATATATAACTAAAAACATTTTATTAAAAAAATTTCATTTTAACAGTTATTCAAAATTTCCTGCCACATCTCATTTTCTATACATTAAGGATCTATAAACAATGTCAACTTTAAGTCATACTTATACAGGAATTAAACGTAGGTAATATTAGGTGTGACTTGATTTTAACCCAGTGACATCACATCAGACCGTTGCCAGATGACATATTTCCACATCTGACTTGTATATCTTTTATTGTTTTTAATAACAACAATAATCTAACTCTCCAAAATAAATGCTATTTTTAGATTTGTATCTCCTACATACATTTTTTTAACATGCCAGTCTGTGCTGACTGTCATCCAAGGAGAAAAGTCAAAATTATCTTTTCTTCTTTCATTTGGCACATCCTGACAGGTAGATGAGAACCATATTTTTGTTATGAATATTCTCCAGCATGTTACCTGGTTTGTATGTTGTTTTTAACTAACCAAAATGCCTTGTTTATGTTACTAGCTTGTAAAATCCATGCCTTAACACAAAAAATAATAATGTTTATAAAATTTAAGCGTTTTCATTTTAACACTTGCTTGAAATAAACAAATTTCATCATTCATAATCTATTGCAAATACAAAACTAAGATTACTTCATAAAACGTATAACACATTGTTTCTGGTCTATTTTAACTTGTTTGTTTCTGTGGATGAGATCATTTTGTGCAAAAGACAAGAACTTGTCTTACTGCGCTCTTCTTTCACAAGACAATATCTCTGAGTAAAAGAAATCTGTATATTTACTTTCATGATCTGACAACAACAGAGAGTTTGCACAACTTTGTGCCTGATGTGCAGAGTTAGGTTTTAATTCATATTTGTTTAAGTCATTAAAATATTTTCACAAATTTACTTACATATAACATTTATTAGATAAAAACAGTTTTAAGCTTACACTGAAGATTTTCTATTTCTGTCAATATTTTGCAAGAAAAAACAACTCTACACTGGAAATACAATTGTAACATACTTGGCAGTGAATAGGTTAAAGCAGGGGTCAGCAATCTTTTGCTATGTGCCGACTTAAGGTTTTAAAATCATTCAGTTTGCCAACAGCATACATATTTTTATACAAGTCAAGGTCAATATACCTGTTCTACAATATATTTTATATAGTATATATACTTTACCATATATTAAAATTGAAACAGCTATATATCTTCTTTGCGTTGTAGTAGTTATTGGTTCGGACTTTGTGAAGTCATTTGCAGCTGTGTGCTATTGGAAATTGCTTGGTGTGCCACAGGTTGCTGGACCCTGGTCAGTACTTAGATGAGAGACTGCTTGAGAACAGGGGTACTGTAAGCATCATTCTGCAATCCAAAACCTGTATTGGCTTCAAATAACCCACAAAGGGTTGATAAACCGTAAACGCCAATGGGGTTCAAACAACCACCAGCCAGTTCAGGTCACCAAAGTTCTAACTAATATAGTTGTGTTTGCAATTTTGTCATGTCTACATGTTCTGTAAAAGTATTTCTTAAAAAATGAGGTTGACACAAGAATATTAAACAACTTGTTAACAACTAGTTAATAGCAAACATTTGGTATCTTTCATCTTGTGAGATTAGGTTAACTTACATAATCATTTGTGCTTAATTTAGAAAATTAGCATTTACTAAAATCAAGTAAAACAATTGAAAATTCTGAATTATTTCTTTTAAAAGCATTTAAGATATTTCCTTTGTACTGAAAGACTTGTGAAATTGCCAGTGGAAAATGATGAAAGTCACTCACTTTTTCCCGCTCTTTTTGAAGCACTTGTTCTTGTTCTCGTTCAAGTTCTCTTCTCAGATTAACATCGTAGACTTCCCTCTGAACACCCAAGTCAATATCTTGTCGATACAAGACATCGATTAAATCAAGATCCTGGAAAAACAAAAATAAAATTCAATCAGAAATCAAATTATAAAATAACAGTGAAACATCAGTCCTTCAGTATCAGAATGTGAAAATCGTTTTTTTTTTTTGACAATTCTTTGCATACACACCGAAGATAAGTTTACATTATCTGACTAAAGTATTACTCTTGAACTGAAGCTACATGTGTAATTTAGCCGATATACCCATTATGAATCTATATCTCAAACACCCTTGCAGTGTGCCAGGAAGTTTCAGGTCTCTAAAACATCAGATCCCTTCTCCCAGGTGACCGAACCAGGATGATAATCATCTAATCAGCTTCCTGTTAAATTAATCTACAAAATTTGGTCTGAGCTATTTGTTTCCTGCTAATGAAAATTGGTTTTACAGTTTCTGTGATCAAATTGCAAATAGTTATTTCAAAAGATTACAAGATAGAATCTCACACAAAAAAAGGAGAAAAAAATTTTCTAATCTTAATTGAAAACTGAAGTTTAATAGAAATAATTTTACAAGGTACAAATTACTAATTTTACCAATTTTTAAAACTCCAGCAAAATAGGTTATAAATTTTCACTGGAAATAAAGTACCAAAACTTTCTATTAAGGAAAAAAAGATTATGAAAAAAATTATTTTTTATGATTGGCTAAAAGTGTTATTAGAAATATATCATTATATTTTATTCATTTCATCATGTATACATTTAATACAAACTTCAAGTTAACGCTAACATTACTTAGTATTAAATGAATTCTTCATTTTATATTCTGTCAAAAGCATAATCAACTACACAATGTTACTAAAACAGATAAATTTTAAAATAATTATAACAGAGCATGTTCATGTGTATTTTAAAAAAATCATGATTACAGAATAAGTCTGTCTTTGGTTATTCACTCCTAGGTAAGATCTTAGAGGAAATCAAAAGTACTTGGGTAGGAAAAAACTAGGGCATGTTCCTTAATGAATTTCATCTTAACACCAAGGAACAGATTAGAGAACTGGAAAGGATTACTATAGAAATAGACATATGTCTCCCTCTCTCTCTCTCTCTCTCTATATATATATATATATATATATATATATATCACAGCTGTTTAAAACCCTTGTTTTTGTCATATAGGAAAATCCAACATGGCGCGTAAACGAAATATGCGGCAAAAAATCTCATTCGTCAGTAACATTTTAAACACCTCATAGAATGTAAAGTTCTTAAAGAAAACCTATGTCAAAGTGTTTTCCTGAATCCTTGATGACTTGGCTGTCCGAAAATGATAATATCAAGATGAAATAATGAAACTGACCGTGAAAAATACAATTATGCGCAACAGGTTTTCGATCAATTAGTAAACTTCTGGACCTTTTAGGGCGACCTTATAGGATCCAGACGGCTATTTTTTTTTGCACATGGAATTATTCACTGGTAATTAATCTTCGATTTGGCTGTGGAAAATGTCACTTTCGGCGGTTAGCATTAAGAAATTATGCACAATTTTCTGAGAAAAATCCCTTTTTTAATGAAAAATATTCATTTTCGCTTCAAAATAACATCATTCAAAATTCATTCCTTTCTCTTTCATTTGGCATGAACATCATTGAATAAAAAAAAAGGCTAAATGGACCGGTGATGGGAAATACAAAAGATATCTTGGCGAAAAAAAAAACAATGTTGTCTGCTAAGTGTTGTTGTCATCACCCGGGTCACGGGGTGTTAAAAACAAAACAAAACTTATCAAGCCATTGTTCAAACATAGGTTATATGAAGCCCTAGTAATTGTGAACCCTTTTTTATTCACCCTTTGCTTTTATCTGGGAGTGGTGGGTTTTATTACAACTTGTTCTAAGGTTTGCCGTCCGTTTATTGCTAGCTGGCTGGCCTTTGACCTAGACGTCAAAGTCAATTAGGTTTATTTTCCCTTATCACTATTTTTAGGAAAAAAAAAAAAAACTTTTGGTTTCTGGTGGTTAGGAATTGCAGATAAATCTCTTGCCTTTTACTAAAGATTTCCGTGGCCAGGTGTCAATTTTTTTAACCCTTGGCAGTCATAATTGAAAATTAACAATGGATTTTGTCGCATTTTTTGAACCCCTAGGAATGTTGATTTCCTTCAAAACTCTCAATTTTATGCCTGAAATAGTTTGATTATGATCTAGGCTTTCTGATTTTCAAAAAAAAAAAAAAAAAAATGGTTAATTTCCCATTAATGGGGGAAATATTTGTTTAGAACAAGAAAAAAATGCAAAATTTTCACTATTTTTTCACATTTTACCCACTGAAAAAATTTTTGAGTCATTTACACCAGCTAATTTTACTTTTAAATGAAAGAATATATCTTTTGCTTTCAGAAAATACCTAGTTTCATGGGGTTCAGATCAAAAGTTTCCTTGATATTCGTTTAGGTGATGATAAAACAGTCATTTTTCAATATTTTACCCCTAAAAAAGTATGAAAACCCATATTTTGAGAGAAAATAAGCTGTGACAAAATGACTTTTGCTATTTTTGTGATGATTTTCACTTGGGAAAGAAAAATTTTACCATAGGAAACCTGAATTGACTTTATTTAAGTTCAGTGGGTCTGTAGGAAACCTCAAACAGCTGTGATATAATATATATATTATATATAATATAATATATTATATTATATATAATATAATATAATATATATATAATATAATATATTATATATAATATAATATAATATATATATAATATAATATTATATATAATATAATATAATATAATATATATATATATATATTATACACACACACACACAATTGAAAGAAAAGAGAAAAATAGTGAGTGTAAAGTGGAGACCCCCCCCCAAACAAAGAAAACGACAAATAATGGCGACACCCTAAACATACAGATGGGCACATGTCTGCATGCGCACAAATACAAAAAAATTATACCAATGATAAGTGCATAAAAAAGAAAAATCAAGAAATATAAGCAGACAAATGCTGATATCTCCTGAAGAGTGGACAGATGGATCCATCTACAAAACTCTGGCGTTGGGATACTGAAGGTAAGTTTCTAAACCTTTTACTTATATTAATTCCATTAATGCTCTATTATTGATATCAAGCACTTTACTGTAAAGACTGCTTGCCTCAAATGTCTTTTCTTTCAGTATCCCATTGACTGACACCATTTTTCCCTTTATACTATCTTTGAAATCTATATATATATATATAGAAAATCAATACTTAAATTTTACTGCAGTCTGCAACTAAAAGTTTCATGTGGATATAAAAGTGATTAATGTTACATTAATGTTGCATAGAGCATTATATATATATATATATATATATATATATATACACACACAGTGTGCAATGGATAAATTATCTAAATTACGCAAAAATGAAAATAACACTGATATCTCATTTTAAGATATATTTACCAAAATTACACAAAAATATCTTGAAATACTAAAGAGTAAAGTTATTCAATAAAATCGCCATCGGCTTCAACCATGGCTTCCAGACAACCCTGGAATCTCCTGCATATCTTCTGGATAGTCTCCTCGTTTAAGTTGGTGCCCAACCGACCCTACTATACAGTTGACAAAATCAAAAACAAACAACACAATTGTGAAATTAAAAATATAAAATGGTGACAATTTACCCATCGCACCCTGTATTTTCCCTCACCAGAGTTTCATGTACAATGCAATCTTCAGGTGCTGGGTAGAGACTGACTGTTACATAATTTAAATTTGAATAAAAAATATCTGGTTAATGCAATGCTGGTGTGGTCCATATATTATATGGGGATTATGATTTTTATTTTAAAAATATATATTGCATTTAAAATAGATGGGATTTTAAAATAAAGTCATGCTAACAGTGAGGGATAATATGTATATTTATTATGTTATATTACACAGAGTGCTATTTTATCAACACCAGCACTCCATGTGCAATATATATATTAGACTCACACACTATTTTTTAAGTTTATCTTAGAATGACACAAGATCAAATGTAAGGAAGATTGTGTAGCAGCAGTCTTACAAGTAGTGACAGCTTGCTTAAAAGTCAGAATTTGAAATCTAAGCATCTCACTCAGATTTGAACACTGACTACTAGTATCTGTAAAAAAAAAATCTCAACCAGGAAGGTCACATATCTATACACTGATAAACAAAAACAGTGACTAGTAGGAAACGTAACAAGAATGATAGCTACTGCACACGTCAGGAGCAGATGTGTATAAACAGCTAAACCAGCCTCAAGGACTTTGTGTTGATGTGTTGAGGTTGCAGTTAAGAGCAACAATATTCAGTGAATTTGATAAAGGCCTTATCATTACCAGAGAATTTACAAAAGTTGTGGGAGGCTCAAATTTAGCTGTGGGAAGTACCTATACGTAGCAGTTCAGTTAGTATTGGACTGCCAAGACTTGTCAATGTGAAAAGTGTACATGGGCTTTCCTGACAAGTATGAGCCAACAGAAGGGCTACTGTGGCATAAATTGCAGATCTCATTAATCAGAATGAAAAAAAAAAAAAAAAAAAACTCAACACATCAATTCTTGTTGGGCATGAAGTTGCTTAGTCAAAGACCAGAGTACCCATACTTTACCCATTGTCCATTGTGAAAAAGTATCAAGTGGCATGTGAGTATTGGAACAGGACCTTGTATCCATGGAAGAAGTTTGCCTGGCCCTGTGAATTTTGCTTTATCCTGAATAAAATGGATGACAGGAGACATGTGCACTGTTATCTTGATAAAGTGATGACACCAGTATGCATTATAGCAAAACGACAAACTAATGAGGCAGTGTGATGTTTTTGGAAATGTTCTGTTTGAAAACTTTGGGTTCTATTATTTGTACAGAAGATACTTTGTTATGTTTCATCTACCCACTTTCAGCAGGTCAGCATGCACAAATCTTATGTAGCATGAAAAAGACTCAAACCTAACTCCCTAGATCTCATTCCTATTAAATGCTTATGAGATGTGTTGATTCAACAAGTTTGCTTTGCAGAACCTCCTCTGCATAACTTGAAGCAGCCATATGCTGGAGTTGTTGTTGTTGTTGTTAAAAATCATGCCAGAGGAAATATTTAGAATACATGCTTGATCAGGTAAGAGTTATTTTGTAGACATGAAGGATCCTATTAGGCAGGTGATCATAATGTTTTGGTTCATCAAGGTAGATGATTTGAGTCAATGGAATACAAGTTATATAAATTACAGTAAATTGTTTCCCTTTCTATAAACTAAGCTATATTGGAAAAAAATTTATAATTTTTAAAAATTAAAATACATGCTATATGTATTTCTAAATAATTTTAAAGTTAAGGCAGAAAATATTTTTAGAGAAGCTTTCCTGAAATTTAGCTCCATTTGAATACTTTTCTTATAACTCTTACAAGCGTTTTCAAAGAAATACTTAACTATAATTAAAATCTCAATGAAAGAAAAAAATGATGGGAAAATTTGTATTCAACTTTATTAATTTTTGCAAGAGGAAAAAAAAAAAAACACATTTAGAACTATCTTTGTTTTTAACATTGTCTATTCCAAAATGTTGAACTATCCTTAAGTCAAAGTGAAGTGTCATGTTTGATGCACACTTGAGTAATCATATCTCTTGGATTCATAATTGACTTTGCAGAAGAATTTCTGTAGTAGGTTACCTAACTTGCTGCAGTAGACTGGTTTCCAACCAAGGCTATAGAACTTAATCTGTCCTGCAATTTTTAACTCATAGCTGAGAGGAGAAGAGATGGATTCATACCTTTCCCCAAGAAGCGGATTTTTGCGTAAATGTAATGAACTCAATTGGAATTCGAACTCTGTTCACAGATTTCTTATTCCGAGCCATTATCCATCATACCACCACCACATCCAAGTTTATAGTACATGAGATGACCGCTTAGGTCACTCATGTAGACAGCCTTGCTTAACTTAGGTGTGTCAACGTGATACGGCCGTAAAAAAACTAAAACATACATTCTATAAAACCTTACAGAAAAAAAAAGACTTGATATTCTTGTAACTTTTTCTTTCTGTTGTAAATTGTTAACAAAATTGTGGCATAATTTTTACTTTATTTTACTTTTATTAATTTAATTAAAAAAAAAAAAACAAAAAAAAACGATATACGGGTTGGTAAATAATTCTTTTGCTTCTAATACATACATAAAAAACCTAAAAATGTATGCTGTAAAAATTTTACTACATTTTTAGCTTTTTTTTTATGCATGAATATTTCTGATTATTTGAATTCATCACCACAAAAAAGTAAAAATACAATATTTTTCAAGTTTGTAAAGTTCCTCTTGAACAAAAAAAGAAAAATTAAATTTATTAGCCACTCAATTATTTTGCATTGAAAATAAAAAAATACTTGGAAATAGTAAAATCATTTCGTGAAATAAATGCTTACGGAAATGATTGAAACTTCGAAGTGTTTTTAAAACCCAAGGAAATAAAAACAGAACACTTTAACACACGCACTAAGTTCTTATTATAAAGTGAAAAAAAAGCTGTAAAAATCAAAAGGGAAAGGTAGAAAAATGTTTAAAAGGCCAACTCCAACATTAAAATCATAAAGAAATTATCTATTCTCAGATCTTTAGAGAAAAGGAGAAAAAAAAAAAGAAAAGAAAATTTTTGAAAGAATGCTTATCTTCTTGATATTTTATGTTTGGAAATCTAATGAAGTTTACAAGGAGGATATTTAAATTAAAAGCGAGAACAAATCTGAGAAAAATTAAATCCAATTTGACACAAAAATGTATTTGATCCTAAAAAGGTTTGTATAAAAAAGTAAAAATCCCATCATAAAATAGTTTTTAAAATCTCATTCGCCAATGTAGACAAAGAGGAAAACAAAGGCCTGAAAATGTTTTTTTTTTTTTTTTTTTTAACTTTTTGCAGTATCCGTTAGTTATTTATTTGAGGTTATCACTATCAATTATTATTCCTATCTATAAGAAGTTAAAATAACTTTTCTATTTAATTTATATATAAAATAAAAGAAACGCATTATTATTTGGTTGGTATTTTCAAGGACTTAAAAAAAAAACTACGTCTACAAAAGAACGAATTTGCGGTTTGCCATCTGTTGCAATATCAACATGTGTGTGAGTGTGATTTATGAAAAGAAGAAGACATGAGAAAAACTGTACTTAATTTCAGTTTTAATTAGTTTTTCTCATGTCTTTTCTTACTGTCCTCTTTCAACACACAATGAAATGCACCAAGTCCAACAATTATTTTTTTTATGGTTTATACGTTAGATCCAAATATTTAAGTAAATGCTGTTTATAATAAACAGTATTTACAATATACAATGTTTACCGGCCTGAATGTTCGAGAAATTTCATAAAAAATGTTTATTATCAAACCTCATATAAGACACCTGTTTCTTTAAAGAAAATCCATTTTTTCCACACATACAAAAAACAAAAGTATCACGTGAAAATGAATGTATGTAGTCAAAACTATAATTAAACTGAGAAAAAAAATGTTTTCCAAAGTTTATACATTCCAATAGGAGAAAAAAGAAATTAAGTTAAAAAAAATAAAATAAATAAAACATTTGAAATTTCAATTTCATACAATAATTTGATAAAGTGTTTTTTTGTGGCCTAAAAATATCACGTGTTCAACAAAAAGAAAAAAAATCATGTTAATAAATGCAGTAAAGTTTATTTTTTTTCGGGAATTCAGACAAAGAAGAATCTATGTAAATAAAATAAGAATTAAGGAATTCATGAATAATACTTCTTTATTGTATAGAATTTAATGATTATTAAAATGAAAAGATATTCCTAGATCCCAAAATAAATTGCTCTTCACCACGCTACACAAAGAATGCGGAATTCATTCATAAAAACCGACATTTTATCCGAACGAATTTAAATTTTTTTTTCATGACGATTAGAAAAAAAAAACTAAGGTAGTGTTTATAAAGGCTTTCAATTATAGAAAAAATAATAAATTTTAAAAAAGCATAAAGTTAACATGAAAACAAATATATACTAGTTTACAAATCTAAACAAAAACACATTCCGTACGGTTAGAGAAAACATCTTTTTGTTTTGTTTGTTTCGTTATTATTTTTTTTTTTTTTAAATAGATATCAAATTTTATTGTGTAAAAAAAAAAAAAAAAATTAAATGTTAATAATATTATAAGTACAAAAAAATCGGAATATTTTTTTTTTAATTCTACATGAAAAGTCATGATTACCTCTTTGGTTAGATCGCTACTGGCAGGGCTACTTGTATTGCTACATGAAGTCGTACCAGTGTTTGTTGTCGAGTTGGAGGTACTATTAACCAATTCTCTATTAAATACTGTCGAAATTCCAGACACTGCAGCAGTACCTTCTTCCACTTCAGCTTCTTTGGTAGAATTTAGATTATTACTGGTATTAATTAAATTAAGATATTCAACATTATTTGCCTCTTCTTGTTCTTCCTCGTTTTCTGAATTGCCAACATAATCTGCCGCCTCGTCCAAAGCCGTGGCCAGAATATCTTCATTTGTATCATCTTGGAAAAGGTCATCATCATCTTCATTGGTATGGTCAGCGTGTGAAGATGACGATGATCCAGGATTTGAGGATGAGACATGGTCAGCACTGACCAGATAAGTAGAATAATAATCCCTTTCCAAAAAAGAGGCAAACGTCAATTGTCGCAGTTCCCGATACAAAGACGTCGAGAAAATACGCCCATAATCAATGTTCTTTAATCGGACATGTTGTCGTCCCAAGTTAGACAAAAGGTCACGATTGTTATTGTAGTTAACCCGGCCATAGGCTGTGCTCGTCCCTAGGATAATCTCTTGTACTTCAGGATATGTAATATAATCACTGTTTAAATAATTACTGAGATCTGTACGAAGTAAACTAAGGACGATGGCGATAGATATCAAACCATCAGTAAAACATTGTTTGATCATATTGAATAAATTTCATACAACAACTAACTAAACCGCTAGTTAGAGTTAGGTTGCATTTGAAATTAAATGAAGAGCCCCTTTTTTGGAAAGTAAACACTAATTTTAGCAAATAATGTGTTTTCAAACTCCCACCACGCTGTATTTATTGAAGTGGAAGTCTGTTGTTGTGATAGTGGCGGGTATATGATTATTAAAGCATTTTTTAAAAGCAAAACGGAATTAAAGAAGAAGAGAAAGCAGTTCAAGAAGAAGAGGGGCAGCTGACAGTCGCGTGTTAGTTGTGGTGAGTGAAGAAGAGATAGATAAAAAAATTATCCATAAGGTAACCAGAACTGAACGCTGAGGACTTTATGGTGTCCCATTTCAGAAAAATAAATTCAGGTCGGGCCCCATAAATCAAGTCTTCTTTCCTTGAGTTTTTTTCATAACCGAAGAACAATAAGAGCGAGATAAAGAAGGCAGACCATACGCCGAGATTACGACGCGGCGACGAGCGCCACACTTATGTGAGTCAGGGAACATTCTGGAAGGCACTTCCTGTTACGCATGCGTACTTGTACCATTTGCCAGTTTCCTATTAAAAGGAACTAAAAAAAAAAAAAAAATATACCATTTCGCATTGTCCAAGTTAAGTCTTTTGAAAAACTTAATAAAAGTTGATAACCAATGACATATTGTTACTCTTGACTCATATTTAATCTGTAATCTTTAAATATCCAGCTCTTCTAAATCGGCTCGCATAAAACATTTACATTATTTAAATGACATCATTTCAACATCATCATCATCATTAAAAAAAAAATTAAACTAAACACAAACAACATATTTTAAATAAAAAAAATTATACACTATTTTATTATAATTCAATGAGTTTCAGGTAAATATGGAATTAAACTTTTAAAAATTCTCAAAGTAACGTTGAAAATAAATTTAACTTTTTAAAAAAGTATTTTAAATTTTTTTGTTAAACTTAATTAAATTTTAGGTATTTTATTTTTTAATTTATTTAGGATTTTCGTATAAAACTTTTATAAGTCTTTAAAATTTTATATTATAAATTTTTTTTTAAATATATTCTGTTTATTAACGCAATTTTTGTAAAGTGAGTGAAAACACTTGCATTTCCTGCAATAAAACAGATAGTGAGTTTTAGCGTTTCAAACGTATTTGACATACATTGATTTATCTCCCTTATATTGTACACAAACTTCTTCAAACACGCTCATATTAGGAGCTCTCGTTTTAATACGAGACATACATGCATTCTAAATTAAATGAAAAATAATGAGTGAAATGCAATGTAATTTATTTAAACTAATTTTCCCTAAATAAAAAGTGAAATTTAATTCAACATTCGTGACCAATGTCTTAAAATTTAGAAAAACAAAAATTTCTATTTTTTTCATATTCTAAGGAAGTCTCACAATATGAGTCACGTTCAAGAGGTTGATGTACGATGTAAGGGAGATAAATCTATCCTTGGTATATAAAAATTGTAAGAAAAAGCTAAAAGTAAAATAGATAGTCAATAAAATTAAAATACTACTACTTGTTTCTTTTATTATTGAGTTAAAGAGTAACCTGCCAGTTAAAGTGACGCTGAGGTACAAAAGCTCAATATATCCGTTTTATGACACCCAGCCTGATAAATGTATGCCAAACACACACATTATTTTTTCTTCGCAAAGAATCATAGGTGAGTCAGAGATAAAATGACATCAGTGAACCATAACGAAACCCAAGTTGGGTGTATACGATATTTCTTTGGTTGCTTGAAATACAGGCTTTCCGCTTTACGGTTACATAACATTTTTTTTTATTTTTTACTATCAACAAAAAAAAAAAAAAAAAAAGAAAGAAGTAACTCAATTAGAGAAGACACGGCTTGTGCTGTAATTTTGCTCTTAATGCCCTATGTGCGTATTCTAGTTTTAGCTATGCTGTAGAAAATTAAGGCATATTTTAAAATGACCTGACTATTGTATTAGTTTTACTTTTCACACGTGAATCAGTCTCTCTCTCTCATTCATATATATATATATATATATATATATATAAAATTTCAATTTATTTCCCTAACGTTATTTTTCACAAACTTTTTTTTTTTTTAACTTTCTAGGACAGTATACAACACGATTTTTTTTATAAGTACCTTAGGATTTGGCTTGTACTGGGGTTGCTTAAGTTAAAAAAATTAGTACTCTAACTAAAAAAGTGTTTAAATTTTTTATGCTTGGGTGTAAGTAACCACTGTAAATGGTTAAAGACATTTCAATGTAACTACTAGAATTGGCAGAATTATTGAATTCAGTATAAAATAATAATTCTATTTCATTTTCCTTTTTTCTTTTTGGAGTTATTTCTTCACTAATATCATTAGTAAAATTGCTTAGGATTTAGTTAGTATTAGTCAAATTTAAAAAAAATAAAATAAATCCTGTAGTCATCCCAAAACAGTTACCTGGGGTTGTCAGTGAAAGGGAAGTAATCACCAACAGCAGAAAGATTACAAAAAAACAATTTCGTATGCACACATATTTTTTAAAGTATGCTATATTCATGGGTAAAAGTGCTCAATATCAGGAATAGAGAATCTGTAAATATAAAAGTGGACACTGAAGTCAACACCGAGTGGTGAGAGTCTGTTTCATGCTTGAATACAATCTTCAAGCCATATCGCACATAACAGACTGTGGCTTGGTGTTGACTTCAATGTCCACTTTCATATTTTGTGTGTAAAAATTCAGATATAAATAAAAATATATCTGTAAAAAGACAATTCTTTTGCCTTTATTCACATCTATTAATTCTTTAGAAACATATATATATATATATATATATATATATACATATATACATAAACATATATATATATATATATATATATATATATATATATATATATATATATTTTCTAAAGAATTAATGGATTTATTTTTATTTTTAATCTGACATTTTATTACTTTAAACTTATTACTATCCAATATAATAACATTTAAATATATATTTTTTAATCATTTCACCTCAAGCAAAGCAGGAATGCCACTGGTATGCAGGGGTTTACAGAGAGTGAAGGTGAGAGAAAAGATTGGGTAGAGGGGAGGCCGAGGAAAAGATAAAAGCTGAATGGGTTCAGGAAGATAGAAGATGGTGATTGATGTTGTATTTAAATTTTTGAAGATTGTAGTTATCAGAAAGCAAAGAAACAGAAGGGAGTTTCACAAGTGGGAAGTGTGGGAAAATAGACTAGAAGCAGCAGTTGAATTTAGCTATTTCAACAGTAAACTGGTGTGACCTAGATGCTAATTTAGTAGCATGCTTAAATTCAAAAAAATTTCAACTGGGTGCATAGGTTGTGTGCATGTTTCTAGAGTTATGGGGATGTTTTATTTTCCGAACACGGCACATTGTGCTTGTGATTGAAGTTAATATTATTGAGTGTTGGCTTTTTCTTTTTTATTATTAAGGCTTCCATTATTTTAATCTTTTTTTTTATATGTGGATGTGGTTATTATATTTGTATTTTCTACTAGTATGTTCTGGTAAGTTTGTGTTCTGATGGAGTTGTGGTCGGATAGGTTTAACGTAAGGCGTCTGGATAGGCATGTAATAGTGTGACCAATGTAATTATTTATGAGTTCAGTTTGATCAGGAACATAGTTCCTTAAGGAGCATTTGAACTCATAAATAATGTTTGTTCTTTGTAATTTTGATTTTGCAGGTGTGTTATTTTTGAGGATAAGGTTGGCTGTTTTAAATTTTTTGTAGTAGATAATTAATTTAATTTTTTTGTTTGGGTCAATTGGGGTAGTGTATTTCTTTATGATATTTCTAAGTGAAGATAATAATAAAAAAGAAAAGCCAACACTCAATAATATTAACTACAAGCACGGCCACAATGTGCTAACTGTGTTCGGAAAATAAAACATCCCTATGAAACATACACACAACCCATACACCAGTTAAAAAGCAAAAATAAAATCATCCTTGATAATGGCTAAAAGTATAGCTGAAAGCACTCGGAATTACAGAACATATGGACTACACACTGTGTCTAGAAAAGAAAACACTTGTTTGAACACAAGAAAAATTAAATAAAAAGCTTAATCACATTACCTGGTCTGTCATCTTTAATGAAACGTGTGTGTGTGTGTGTGTATATATATATATATATATATATATATATATATATATATATATATATTAGCAGCAAGTTTTCATTAAGACATGTCACATTGAATAATTTAGACAAGTTTTGTCTAATTATTTTCAATAGGATCTTTTCATATTCATGGAGACAAACTTAGTATCTTTATTGAAGAAAAAGAGAAAATTACTATATTGATACATATTCATTTATTCCAAGTACTTTGACATTGTCTAAATTATTCAATGAGACATTTCTTATATATTTCCTACTTTCTAAACTTTTTTGTAGATATCCATGTTTGGTTAGTTGTGCAATTTTGTTTTTTTTGTAAAGTGTGAATTACATCTACTGGTCTACACATTTGAGAAAATTTGTTCTCTGGTAAGGATCAAACCTGTGTCCGTATTTGTGTGATATATATATATATATATATATATATATATATATAGATTAGTAGATAGAGAGAGAGAAAGATAAATAATTAAAATATATCCGTAAAAAGACAAAAAGGAAACTTTTCTTTGGGACACAGTAAAGAAAAGGTTCCCTTTTGTTTTTATTTGTTGTTAGTTTTTGAAAAATTTTTAATTTAAGAAACTCCATAATTTACCTTGACTTTTCAGTTAGCCTCTTAAATTTAAAATTTTTTAAACACATTTGTACTTTTGTTTATAAATACTTGTTACAAAATAAAATCCTTGCTTTTGCCTTGATAAAGTCCATCAGAAGATGAAACACATTGACTAAATGAGTTTTCCTTTTCTCTTCATTCATATTTTCTTTTTACAGATATATTTTTTTAGTTATAGCTGAAATTTTACATACACAAATACACACACACAATCTCCTTTGAGATTATAATTTTAGTTTTAGACCAATTAATTTTTTTTAAGTAAAATATTAATTTTAAATTAAATAAAATATTTTCTCAAATTGAATTATAAATGTAAAAAACGTTTAAATAATTAAAAAAGGAAAGAAAAACCATTCGATGTTGTGTAATTAAGAAATAATTGTCAAATTAATGTCTATATTAAGTTAAGAAATAATTGTCAAAAATATCTATATTAAGTAAGTTCAAAAAATGTTAAGAGGAAGGACAATTAATTTACTAAAAATAAAAGTTCTGGTTATGTTAAGTTCCATTAGTTTTAAGAGGAAGTCTTAATTTATATTGTCTGGGTCAAAATACTGTGACATGGCAACAAGTTAAGGGATATTTATTCCTATGCCAGGCCTACAATGGAGGTCCTCATAGCCTAGCATATGCACTGATTCTTTCAGAGGTTCAACAGGGTTTGGTATGTTGGCATTCTATGCAAGCTCAAGTGATACATTATTACAGAACGAATAGCTGGTTTAATCCAATTATTATGAAATATTATGAAGGTTGTGTTGAATGGGCTCACTTCC